AGAAAACAATAAAATCTTACCAACTGCGACAACATGGATGGACCTAGAAGGTATTATGCTAAGTGAAATGAGTCATACAGAAAACGACAAATATTTCACTTATATGTAAAATCTAAAAAAAAAATAAAACAAACTCATAGATACACAGAACAAATTGATAGGTGTCAGATAGAAAGAGGATTGGTGGGATTGGTGAAAAAAGATAAAGGGATTAAGAAATACAAATTGCCGCCCTAGCTGGTTTGGCTCAGCGGATAGAGCGGCCGGCCTGTGGACCGAAAGGTCCCAGTTTGATTCCAGTCAAGGGCACATGCTCGGGTTGCAGGCTCGATAATCAGTAGGGGAGGGGGCATGCAGGAGGCAGCCGATCAATGATTATCTCTCATCATTGATGTTTCTATCTTTCTCTTCCTCTCCCTTCCTCTCTGGTATATCAATGGTAACTGAAAACAAATTTTTAAAAATTCCAAAGCTGACAGCAGCCATTTTAAATTAAAACCAGAGTCAACCAATGACAAACCTGATGCTCAAACACCTTGCCAAATTCAGGAACTCTCAGTAGTTGTGAGGTTATCCAGGCTTAAGGAACTTTGTGATATTATCCAGCACTGTGCAGCAACTAGAATTCCTAGAAGACACTAAATGACTAGAAAACTTTAATAACATAAACTGAACACTAAATTTGAGAAATCCTTGATAAATGTGTTCATTTTGTTTATATTTCTACTATTGGTCATTAGTAGAAATGAAAGTCAACAAATTTCATATTACCTGTAAATGTTTTTGGATTGATTCTACGGCCTATGAAAAAACCAAGACAATACTCGTTGAAGTACTGGAAACAATAAAAGTGAACCTCTGTACAAGCATATTTTATGTAATACAATAGAGGTCGAATTGTCTGAATCAAATTACATATAAAGGGGAATTTCTGTAACTCTTTAAAGCATCGTCTATACTGGCAAAAACTCCAGTAATATGCATGCCAAAACCTTTATTTTGGACTTTTTGTTTGTTGATCTTTTTTAACATATACCATCATTAGTAAATGCCTAATACAGTAAGATTAGAGAACCAGAATCACTGTCAAAGTGGCATCTGGTGGCCCACTGAATTGTTGTTCCTGTCTGTCTTATTGTCATTCCTCCTCTCCTTTTAAGGACACTTATTTTCTTAGGGATGTGCCACTTCTCAGGTCAGTATATTGCCATTCCAAGTGTGAAAAGTCCTTAACCTGGTTGATTCATATATTTTATCCTCTCCCCTAAAACAATCAAACCTGGGATTCAATCATTTTCAATGGAAAGATGCCTGACTGAATTTTCTGGCTCACTTGGGATTAAAGGCATTAGAGAAAACAGGCAAAGGATTCAACACTCACAAGTCTCCTGATATATGGCAGAAGACTTTGTGAACAAAAAGTGACTGCACAGTAGACCCCACAAGCTTAGGGGCTATTTGGCAGGCCTGGCAAGCCCAGTGACCAAAAGTAACCACGCAGGATGGTCTGATCGTAAATTCCTAGCTGGACAGGTTATGACAGGTAGTCACGTCCCAGGACTACAGCTTCCTTAGCCAAAGTCAATCACTCACCTTAAGGGAGCCCTGTTCATTGTTCTTATGCATCTAGGATAACATACCTTTGAAATGTTCAAGTGATTTTTTTTCCAGACACCTCCAAGGCACAACCACCTACTCTGGAGACAATGTAACACTTCATTGTTATCTTGTTCCAGCATACCACCCCTATGTGCTGTACATGTTAATTATTAACTATCCTGTATCCACCAATGTAAAAGGATGCATGTTTCTCTCCATTTTCCTTTTTCTGTAATCCTGGGCATTTCCACGGTTTGCTTTCTCCTGCCTTTTTAATGTACCACCAACAGAGTCCATACAATCTCCCTTATATTTTCTCCTGATTCTAAATGTATAAAATAAACTGCAAAACTGCCATCCTCTACAGCATTTTCTGTCTGTTGAGATCTTGCTTTAGGGCAGTGATGGCGAACCTATGACACGCGTGTCAGAGGTGACATGCGAACTCATTTTTTTGGTTGACTTTTCTTTGTTAAATGGCATTTAAATATATAAAATAAATATCAAAAATATAAGTCTTTGTTTTACTATGGTTGCAAATATCAAAAAATTTCTATATGTGACACGGCACCAGAGTTAAGTTAGGGTTTTTCAAAATGCTGACACGCCGAGCTCAAAAGGTTCGCCATCACTGCTTTAGGGAATGTCCTCAAATCTTAGCTCAAATAAATTCTTATAGAGCTTTCTGCAGATTTGGACATTCTTCTATCAACAACTTTAAAACAGCCTTTCTTCTATAACACATTTGAAAGTGTCAGAAAGATAAAATTTTGCTCAATATTTAACGTAACTTCTAAGAAAGGATAGAAGGACTCAAATTAGGACCTACTTATTCTATTTAAAAACTCATTTGAGAATCAAATAGAAGGCTGTTTCCATCCCCATCAAAGTAAGATCTATTAAATACCCAATAGTGAGTTTTAAAAAGTTATTTCTGTGAATCAAAACTTTCTAACCTTTAAGGTAAAATTAACATAGGTAAATTTTCAAAGTGACTTGTAAAAAACATCACTCATACTTTGTATAACATCCCCCCCCTTCCCCTTTTAATATATTTTTATTTATTTCAGAAAGGAGAGGGAGAGATAGAAACATCAATGAGAATCGATTGGCTGCCTCCTGTAAGCCCCACACTGTGGATCGAGCCCACAACTTGGGCATGTGCCCTGACCGGGAATCAAACGCATGACCTCCTGGTTCATAGGTCAATGCTCAATCACTGAGCCAAGCTCCTTTTTGGGGGGGAAAAGTGGAAATCAGCATTTGAAGATATTTTTACTCCCTCCCTTCATATGGTGAAATACCTGTGTTAGAATTTAAAAGTTTCCTATTATTATGGACCAGTAGCTTGTCGCTATGTACCAGTTTTATAGAGGAACACAAAAAGATAGTACAGAAGGCAGACTCAAACTAGTTTAAATTCTACTGAATGACACAGAGTGAGTTTTTCATTATAAATTCCTTGTTGTGGCGAAATATTCATAGTAAAAATCAATCAATGCTAATTTTTATTAAAATCAAAGCACCAGTTGGCTCTCTAAAATTAAACAAACAAACAAACAAGGACTATTTCTCAGATGTCCTTCACAATAAGCAAAACCTCCATGGAGATAGAGATTGTGATCTGATTGGCTAGCATTATTCTCACTCAGAATCATGAGCCACCAGCATGTGAATTATGACTTCGTAAATTCACACCCAAAATGATGGGTGATGTGTTTGTAAAAAGACTTCAACTATTAATTTACATGAGGTTATAAAATACTTAAAAAAATATGTACATGATTATTTAAAAGGAGGTGCTCTATTTCAATAAGAAATTAGTTACACTCATGGTCATGTCCATAATTTTAATGGCTAATCAGATCACTTGATTTCTCTCATTCATAACAAGTACAGATAAACAGAAAATGAGTATATCTTTAGTTTAAACCTGTAAACTTTTTGTTCATCACATGAAGCAACTTATTTTTGGGATTCACATTATTTGTAGATCAGGGCTCAGCAAAAGGAGGAGTTCCTTCTTTCATTGTCTAGTCTCTCCATGAAACCCAAATTCAAAAGTTTAAGCACTGTGGCATCATAGGACTTTAAAATGCAATTTCATAAATAGAGTAAAGGTCTGTCTACTACTCACCTTTTGGACTTTGGAGTGAAACTTTCTGAAAGCATTCTTAAGTTATGTTACAACTACACTATTATATTGTAGTAAAATGGGGAGCCTCTTCTTTAGTTTAGTAAAGAAAGTTAAAACTACCCAGGCAAGAGGACATTTCCTCTTAGCATTTTCCAATTTCCTACCCCTCCATTCAAAAAAGGTAGGCAGGTCCTGTTAATTCAAAGGACAAAATGATTGCGTTGCCAGATGCTGATGTGCAAATACATTTTGAATTTAATATGGTATATCTCAGTCCATTTATACTTTTTGCCATGGCCATATAAGTCACTGACTGTGCACTTGGGTTCCCTTATTGCTGGAAAGATCAAATGATTGGCATCTGGGAAAGCTTTTGATGAGTTGGAATTGAGTAATTCCTAGCTCCCATATGCTTTACTTGTTCATAAGCCCCCATAATGGTGTAATCATGTATTGAGGGTCTTTCAGCTATGATACTGGGCTCTTGTTTCCAACTCCAGAAGGATATCTCTGGAGTTTTTGGATCAGAGATAAACACTGCAGTGTTTTCCTGTTAGGCCAAGGTTGCTTGAATTGCACTAAACTTTTGGGAGGATGCTCAATAAATGAGCAGGGGGTGTATATAGTTAGGATATCTTACAGCTGTCTATTAGAATTTAAGGACTAATTAGCTGGGATCCACCTGAGTATATAGATGCCTGTTAATAAGGTCACAGGACTTTAATCATTAAGACTGTCACTGAAGAATATTTGGAGAGAAAAAGACTTACTTTAAATACTGTTTTAAAAGATTAATATTGCACTGAATATAAGTTTTGAGTATGTTAGAAATTCTGGCTCAGATGCCTTTAGAAAATATTTTATATATATTTTCTGTTTAGTGCTACTTCCCTTTGTGATCCTTCTCAAAAATTTATCTCTATTGTCCTGTTTCAACTCTGGAGACAAATATGGAATAACAAACTGTCAGAAGAACAGTATTCAAAGATACCAACATTAAACTTACTACTAAAAGCTCAACAGCTGGTGTCAATAAATGCTGGTGCAAAAGAAAACAATTAAATGGTATATGTGCGATTATAAAAATTTGTTCAGTCTTTGGAGAATGTCAAATGCATATTCAAAACAATATTATCACCACCACCATAATTAACTTGAACACAAATCTGAAAAGATGATTAAGACTTTTTAACCATTAATTCATAATTTACGCTATGGACAAGGCTTAAATCTACATAGAAAGTGAGACACTATTGCTAGTAAGTTATTTTCTCATATTTTATCTTTATCAATGTCTGAAAACCCAATCAATTAGCCACAGAATATTTTCAAATTGTCCATTTTAAGAAGCAATGCTACAATGATAAAATCAAGTCCTCTAGGTTTAATTCATGGAAGATGATACCTTCCAAAAAGTAACATTCTTTCAAGCCAGCCATATTTTTATTCCATCAGCCTAAAGAGAATAATGTCCTCCAGCAATTAGTGTTTTATAAATAAAGGTTTACTTTGGCAAACTAAAAATAATTCATGTGTAAATATTTTGTCAAATGTTAAATTAGCAAGGGGCACTATCTTACTCTAGTTTCCTTCCTTGACACTGACCAATAAAGAATAAATGAATATCAGTTAAACTAGCTAGGTCTGGCCCATTAAGGAATACGCTTGCCTTCAGAAGGTATCTTTTGTATCTCCATTGGAAGGATACAAAGGAAATTCAGAATTAACTGAGATCAAAGAATCAATTTGAGGGTCTGGCTCATAAAAATAGGAAATGGATGTGTCAGAAAAAAATTAAAATTTCACTATAATTCTCTCCAATTTCCTGTTCCCAAATTCCACAATACATTTTCATTTCAAATTATAAAGAGAGATGAAAATGACAAAAACGAGTCCCTTTCAGGGTATATTTTTTTAAATCCTCACATCAAATACTGCACACAATTGTATTTCATATTTCAGGTGTTCCACTAAAAACCATACTGCAAACAGTGAGTCTTTATATAAGGATCACCTGCACAGTTAAAACAAGCAACAAAACCACACATAGACATACAGTAAAACCAAATGTGTTCACTTACTTCCTCAGTGGAAGAAGTTCAATTAAGAAATGTACGAAAATGGCCTTGAAAATCTGCTAAACATCTCTACAGACAAGAAAAAATAAATAAAAAAACACTTGTTTTCCCATTTTTTCTTTAATACAATTGCCATCTTACATGACTATTAGGTGCCTTCTTAATAGTGTCTAATCTAATCTTTGTTGCACCAGTAGGCATCCTACGATAGAACTCTTATTACCATCCATGTTAATTCACTGTGGCCCAGCTATTCTTAAGGACAGTACACCTAACTCATGGTTGGGCCACAATTACTTAGTAGTGGTATTTTCTAAAAATGGATTAATGCACACATCCAGACCACATTAAAATTTCAACTTAGAATTCATACAAATTCTATTTCCTTTCTATAGTAGTTATCATCCCAGATTACAGTTTTGAAATCCAGCAAGTAGGAACAATGTCTTATTTTGTTGTTGGTGCTTCTTTCTTCTTTCTCTCTCCTTCCCTCCCCTTTTTACTTACTTTATTAATCAGAAGGTTAAAAAAATGGGTTAAGAAAATCAAAATCTAGTAAACATCAAAAAATTATAGGTCAGCGTTGTCCCAAACTCTTCTTTGTAATGATGTTAAATTATTTACAAAGTAATTTTTGAAAAAAAAAAAAAAGCGAAAAACCAGCACATGCCAATACTGCTGTTTATTTAAGCAACTGGCGATCCTCTACACTTTTGAGGCGTTTCTTCCGGGGCTGTACAAAGTCATCATCTGAGTCATCACTAAATTTATTATCTTCTGATTCATTCCTGAATTCAAGTTTAGGAAACCGTTTTTCTGGATAAAGGTTCTTTAGAAGTTCTTCAAAATAGCTTTCAAGCTTTATACCAGCACTGGCTACTTCTGAATCAGGCTGTTGGGTCAAAATAAAAATATAAATTATAAAACAGACACCAACATTTAGACAGCCAAAAGTAATAAATTTCTCACATTTCTGTTCCCTTTTAACTTGAGCTTAGGAATACCAGTGGATTATTTTGGAAAAATATTTATACAATGTCATTGATATAAAATAAATAGTCTGGGGCTAAACAAAGTGTAGAGAAGGTCACATAAAAGGTAAACAAACGTCTTTGACACATCTGGCTTATTCTATAAGGGCACAGCAGTTGCAAGACTGGATTCCCAAACAAAAATAAAGATCCTATAATCACAGTATTATATAACAGGTATTTTCAGAACATATAAAATGTGGAACTTTGGAATGAGTAACCAATAAATAGAACAAGGCTCTAAGTCTAACAGATATTTGGATAAACTGACAGATGAGAAAACATTAAAATTAGAGCTTTTTAGACCACATCTTTAATATTTCAAGATGAACATAAAAAAAAAACCCACTAAAGTATGGAATTGCTATATTCTAAGAAATAAAGATAAGAATGACAAAAAATGCTTCTAGGTTAGATGAAAATATTTTTAAAGTGTTTTCAGTTGTCAGCTATAATTTGCATTTCCACTCAACATATAATAAACATCCTACCTAATAATAGAGAAACATGGTAATTAATCATAACTTCGCTACCCTTCCCATTGGCTAATCAGGGTGATATGCAAATTAACTGCCAACCAAGATGGCAGCCGGCAGCCAGGCAGCTGAAGCGAACAGGAAGCTTGCTTGCTCCAGTGAAGGAGGAAGCCAAGGTTCCCCGCCTGCTGCTGCTGGGCTCTGAGCAACAGAAACAATGTTGCAATTATAGAAGCTAAACCATCCCCAGAAACCTGCTTTCAGCCAGCCGGGATCTCAGAGCTGGAGCTGAGCCTCAGAGCTAAAGCTGGCTCTCAGTTCCAGTGACGGCCATAGAAGGTAAATCAGTGGTTCCCAAACTTATTTGGCCTACCGCCCCCTTTCCAGAAAAAATACTACTCAGCACCCCCTGGAAATTAATTTTTTTAAAATTTTAATAGCAATTAAACAGAAAGATATATGTATTAATGTTTCTACCTTTTTCGTAAAATATAGTAAAGAAAGGTGCAAATTAGAAACATTGAAGTTTGAAATTATGAAACTATTTATTGAACTCAGAATAGAAAGGTAATACAAAAAAAGTTAAAACAAATGCACCTGTGGCCATCACCGCCCCCCCCTGGATCGCTGCAGCGCCCACCAGGGGGCGGTAGCGCCCACTTTGGGAATCACTGAGGTAAATAAATCCCAGAATTAAAAAAAAAGAAAAAAGGGAGAGGTTGAAAGCTTCAGTCACCCGCCAGCCTGAAAATGGCCCTCAGCCCCTCACCCAGACTGGCCAGGCACCCCAGTGGGGACCCCCACCCTGAAGGGGGTGTGACCAGCTGCAAACAGCCATCCTCCCCTCATCCAGGCTGGCCAGGCACCCAAGCGGGACCCCAACTCTGAAGGGGGTGTGAGCAGCTGCAAACAGCCATCATCCCCTCATCCAGGCTGGCCAGGCACCCAAGCGGGACCCCCACCCTGATCCAGGACACCCTTCAGGGCAAACCAGCCGGCCCCCACCCAGCACCAGGCCTCTATCCTATATAGTAAAAGGGTAATATGCCTCCCAGCACCGGGATCAGCGGAGCCTCCCAGCACTGGGATCAGCGGAGCAGCAAGGCCTCATTGCCCTGGTGTCAAGAGGAGCCGAGAGGCCTCCCAGCACTGGGATCAGCGGAGCCGTGAGGCCTCCTGGCCCCTGGAGCAGCGTGACAGGGGGCAGCGCCCAAACCCTGATTGCCCTGCGGCTCTGTGTGTGACGGGGGCGGGGCCACAACCCCCTGATCCGCCCTACTCTGTGCGTGACGGGGAGGGGGGGGGGGCGGGAGCTCCCCAACCCCCTGATTGGCCCTGCTCTGTGCGTGACAGGGTACGGAGCCCCAACTCCCCTGATGGGTCCTGCTCTGTGACAGGGGGCAGCGCCCCAACCCCGATTGGCCCTGCTGTGTGTGTGACAGGGGGTGGCGCCGCAACCTCATTGACCCTGCCTTGAGTGTGACAGGGGGTGGTGCCCCAACCCCCTAATTGGCCTTACCCTGAGCGTGACTGGGGGTGGCATCGCAACCTCCCGATCCGCCCTACTCTGTGCATGACAGGGGGTGGCGCCCCAACTCCCCAATCGGCCCTGCTCTGAGCCTGACCAGGGGCTGCACCTAGGGATTGGGCCTGCCCTCTGCCACCCGGGAGCAGGCCTAAGTCAGCAGGTCATTATCTCCCAAGGGGTCCAAGACTGCGAGAGGGCACAAGTGGGGCTGAGGGACATCCCCCCCACCCAGTGCACAAAATTTTTGTACACCAGGCCTCTAGTCCTATATAATAAAGAGCTAATATGCAAATGGTCATCACGCCATCACTGTAAAGGCTCAGAAACTCAACACTGGGGAGAGAGGAATGGGGACCAGCCAGGCACAAATAAGCTTTCGAGAGATGAATGGGGACCAGCCAGGCTGCGGCCCAGGAGAGGGGCAAGCCGCCCGCCCTGCGGTCCTGGGTGCGGGACAAACCGCACGCCCTGCGGTCCCAAGTGCCAGCCGCTGGGGCTGCAGACCAGGAGAGGGACAAGCCACCCACCCTGCGGTCCTAGGCACCAGCGGCTGCACCCACAGCCTGGGAGAGGAACAATCCACATGCCTCATATTCACCAGGCTGGGTCCTGGGTGCCTGCAGCCAGCCAGAGGGAGGGAAGCCTGGGTCCTAGGTGCCTGCGACCAGCCAGAGGAGGGAATCCTGGGTCCCGGGTGTGGGGTGAGGCAAAGGCAGTTAGAGGCGGTCTGCCAGTAGGGGAGCAGTTAGGGACGATCAGGCAGGCAGAGGAGTTAGGGACAATCAGGCAGGCAGGTAGGCGAGCAGTTAGGAGCCAGCAGTCCTGGATTGCGAGAGGCAGTTGGGCATCCCCCGAGGGGTCCCAGATTGGAGAGGGTGCAGGCTGGGCTGCGGGCCCCAACCGTGCATGAATTTTGTCCACCAGGCCTCTAGGTGGAATATAAATATGGATAAAATCATTCTCTGACTCGAACATTTGGAAATTTATGCTAACATAAATAGATTATCTTAATATCCTTGTTTGCTAATAAGATGTTTTGTTTAACATTGCTTTCAATATTACTATTAGTCTCCCCTCCCTTCCACCTCACCTCATTGAATTCAGCACAGTTTTGAAAGATTAATCTAAAGTCAGCTACAAAATCCTCAGGCTTTGTATACATGTAATACTCTTCTTGTAGTCTTTTCTTGATAGTTGACAAGTCCATTGGATTTTTAATTATTTTGTAATAATCAGGCACCTTTCAAAATAAAAGAGATACTATAATGTAAGTAACTAAATTCTACCTCATCCTAAATAAACTCTACAAGTAGTAGCATAAAATTCAGATTGTACTATTTGTCATTGCTAAGAAAACCTATGCAATATGTGCCTACAGCCTTTCACACAATGGAAAATGTTTTGTATCACCTTTTCCAAAAAAGTTCAAAAATTATTGTTTTGTTTTGTTTTATTAATCCTCTCCCCAGGGTATTTTTTCCACTGATTCCCCCCCCCCCCCCCAAGAGAGTAGAAAGCAAAGGGAGAGACAGAGAGAGAAACATCTATGTGAGAGGGACACATCTATTGGTTGCATCCCATGCCCTGACCAGGGCCAGGGATTCAGCCTGCAAGTGAGATACGTGCCTTTGACTGGAATTGAATCTGGGACCCTTTGGTGCATGGGCCCATGCTCTTATCACTGAGAAAACCAGCTAGGGCTTCAATTATTTTTTAACTAGAGGCCCAGTGCACGAATTAGTGCACAGGTGGGGCCCCTTGACCTGGCTGGCAATGGGGGCTGATAGGGACTGTCTTGCCCAGTCCTGACTGGGGCCCATTGGGGCCGGCTGGCTGGCCGGGGGGAGGGACCACACTGACCACCAGGGGGCAGCTTCTGCATTGTGCGTCTGCCCCCTGGTAGTCAGTGCGCATCATAGCGACTGGTTAACCAGTCATTTGGTCGACCGTCGTAACGGTCACTTAGGCTTATATATATATAGATTTAAAAAATCACCTTTCCCTCCTAAACCTCCTTCTCTATTCTCCTTCATTATTAAACAAAAAGCAATTACTGCTGAAACCGGTTTGGATCAGTGGATAGAGCATCAGCCTGCGGACTGAGAGGTCCCGGGTTCGATTCCGGTCAAGGGCCTGTACCTGGGTTGCGGGCACATCCCGGGTGGGGGATGTGCAAGAGGCAGCTGATCAATGTTTCTAACTCTCTCTATCTCTCTCCCTTCCTCTCTGTGAAAAATCATAAAATATATTTAAAAAAAAAAAGCAATTACTAGCCCTAGAGCAAGCATGTCAAACTCAAAGGCTAACACAGGCCAAATAAACAAGGTTTAAATTTATGTGGGCCACAAAAAACACAAAAGCTTCAATTTTCATAGAAACATAGGTTTATTTCGATAGAGACATGCTGAATACAAAGGGCTGAAATAAATGAGTGATCGTTAACATAAAATAGGACATTTTAATAAAAATTATTATTTTTTCTTGAACATTAACTTACCAGACATTGAATAACTGCACAAATTAATAAGCATAATGCAAATAAACCTATTTTTCTTGTTCTCCGAAAGCAAAATATTTCCTGTTGCACACACCAAACAAGTCAGTCCAAGACTAATGATGTGGCCATTGGCTGCTAAAATATTCGCTGCTAGTATTAGTGGAGAGAAATGGTACGCCTGCACGTAAGCCACGTAAGAGAAATGAATGCAACACAATTATAGTAATCAGTCATTAGTGAACATTGTAGTTCGTTATTGATAGTTATGTATAACGGGATATTGTAAAAATTAAGTTATGAAATTTTTATTAAAACATTTCTTACATACCGTTATATTGGCTGAGCAGCAAAAATATTCACTGTAGGCTGCATGCAGCCTGCAGGCCGTGAGTTTGACATGCTTGCCCTAGAGCATCAGCCTGCAGAGTAAAGGGTCCCGGATTTAATTCCAGTCAAGGGCTCATACCTCACTTGTAGGCTCGATCCCTGACCCTGGTCGGGGTGTGTGGGGGAGGCAACCAATCAATGTGTCTCTCTTATATTGATGTTTCTCTCTCTCTCTCTCTCCTCCTCCTCCTCCTCCCTCCCTTCCACTCTTTCTAAAAATCAAAGGAAAAATATCCTTGGGTGAAGATTAACAACAAAAAATAAAATAAAATAAAAAAACAGTATTTCTAAATCCACTATAATTAAAAAATAACACAAACATGCAATGACTTGAAATGTTTTTGCTGCATGTGTTATAACAAATGGGGTTTGAACCCCAGCTCTGCTACTCAGTAGCATGCTCCTGGGTTAAGTTACTTACTTCACTGAACCTTATATATCAAATAGGGATAATCCTACCAACTTCAGTTTTTGTAAACACTAAATGAGATGATACATATTAAGCAAAAGGGGGCTATTTTGTGCTGCTGTTGTTATTAATACCAAATGTTAACTGTAACCAAGATCATAAAAACCACCAAGTTCTAGGTTAAATTTTTAAGTGGATTAAGTTTGTATTGGTCACAATCCCTTTTTCCCCCCACATTTTTTGCCTGCCTCTTTTGAGCACAAAAGGTCCTTTCCCTAGAAGTATTTATTTCCCTCCTATCTCAACTTCTCAAAACCTGTTCTCAAGAGAGAAGTTCATTGTTTATCTGCTGAATATATTTACTAAGCTAATTTTCTTTTCTAGTCTTATATTAAATTTTTAAAATTTATCAAACTGTAGAATATTAACAATTTAAAGGAATTTTGGACATCAGAGAATAGAACATATTTTTAGTAGTACTTTTAGCACTCTAAGATTATGCATTAAAGCAGTGGTTCTCAACCTTGGCTGCACATTAGAATCACCTGGGAATCTTTTTAAAATCATTTCAGGATGAGGACCAGAAATCAGGATTTTAAAAAGATTCCCAGGTGATTCTAATGTGCAGCCAAGGTTGAGAACCACTGCATTAAAGTCTCATCGAACTTTCAATATGAACCTTTCTGAAGTAAATTTGTTAATACACATGCAATGCGCACACACGCCTTCTTCTATTGTTAAAGTCTACTTAATCTTTGAAGTACGGACATATACATCAAAATATGAACAGAGAATTTTGGGGATATTTATCTCAAATGGAAAGTTTTTTCCCCCAACAGTTAAGGAGATATACCTAAATCTCCTGAGAGGCAACTGATGGAAATCATTACAGAGAAAAGTAGGTAAAATGCATGAGATGAGGTGTAAGAATGTATGAGAAATGAATAGATGTTTTGGGCCAATTATATTAACATTAAAATGCATTTAAGATCAAAGGTTTCAGTATGTATCAATAAGCTTTAAGACTAGATTAGATATAAGAAACTAACTACTGAAAAATGGTACAGAAACTAGATGATCATAAATCAAGTTGCAGAAAAAATCACTCTATGGTGTAAAAATGGACAAAATGACATTAATACTTACAGTTAGAGGAACTGGATCTTGAAAAGCCAGGCTCATTTCATGGCAATATAGAAATAAAAGTAGGCGTTCACACTTCTAAGCAAAAAATAAAATGAAGTCACAGCTTATTTTTTGTAACAATGTCATATATATATATCAAAGTACCAGAATAAAAATTAAAACCTGATGAATACAAGAAAAGTATTGATACTTAGAGTTTTTAACTCCTTCCCATTTACTGAATTGTACTGTTTGATAGCTTGGGGTTTATGTGATACATGAGAGCAGCAGTCCTTTGTAATTATAGGAACAAACACATTATCACTAGAAACCCATTTGAAGCTCTTAAAAATAAATTTCCACTTATTTCTCCAATTTGTATTAAATTATTAGACAATAAAAGAAGAGATCTAAAGGTGGAGCCCTTTCCTGGTGTGTACAATCCTAAAGCCCTAAGGCAGATGGTGCTATCATGCACTCTGCTACTTCTCTGCTTATGTGGGCTTATACACACGCTGAAGCACTATAGTGTGTGTCTGGCCCCGCTCTTGCATGACAACTTTCATACTCTTTGTTCTACTTAATAACTGAGCAAAGGAGCTTCTTTAATAATACAGAAGTGTTGATTTAGTAGGTTTAAATGTTAACTACAGTTAAGTATTTTAGCTGGCTTTAAGGTATAAACCTAGTACCACTGGGTGAAAGAATGGAAATAGAAAAATAAATTCTATTTCTCAACAAATTCTGAGGAAGAAAACCTATCTATAGTAGAAATAAAACAAAAAAGAATTTACTAAAGGTAGACCAATTTTAAGAGTGCAGGCCACATAAAGGACACATATTCTACCTTGTTCAAGTACAGTTTCTAGAAAATGTATATGTAGTACTATGATTTTTTTCAACTAAAGAAGTTAGTCTGCCTCTAAGTATATTACTTAAAATCCCTATACTTTTGTGGAAATAAATACTAAAGAAAAAAGAAGTTAATGTGAAAAGCACACCTGCATTACAATAATGCATTTAACCAAACCAAACCAAACAAAACAAAACAAAACTGTGTAACAGTCTAGGTTGGAAATGCTCACAAACTTACCCTTCTATCTATTGGTGTTAATTTACCAAGACTTTCAGTTTTCTTTTTTTCTGAGTTGTGACTGGGAGCATCACAATCATATTCAACTTCTGGTTTGGATAAGTCTCGGCAGAAAGTGCAAATCCACTCTCCACTGTTGGGGGATAAAGTATTTGAATTATAATGCATTGTTTTGCTCTTCACCATATCTCTTTTCTACCTCCTCCATGCCATCTATGATACAGAATTACTTATTTGGCATGAATTTCAATCACTGAAGAATTACTGTATACCTACTAAGCACTCAGCTCCATCCTGAGAGCTGAACAATTGTAATAATACAATGCAAGAGCCTAAGTGGTATAAATATTAGTCTAGCTAAGGAGGTAAGAAATACATATACAAAGTAAACACTTAAATAAACAGACACATTAGTCTATGGCTGATGTGATGTGTAACTCATATTTTTACCACAAATAATTCAAGACAAAAATCCTTCTTGGTACTATTCTTGCAACTTTGTTTGAAATTAAATTTTAAATAGTATAGCCTTTGAGGAACTGAGAGATTAACTCAATGCTCTTCTTCATCATCATCTCAAAGGGACTGTGAGACTTTGAGATATTTATAAATGTCAGTGCCTGCCAAATAAGATGCCATTGTGGCAGTTGTGCCTAAGGACCATTGTTCTTTATGGCAACCCCATGAAATAAGTTAATGTTTTTTTCTTTTCATAACACTAGGTTTTTGAGAGAAGCACAAGGAATTAGAGGCAGGGTATGGGAAGGAAACCCTATGTTGTAGGTTTTGAAGTATGCATTTGTGTCAAGTGGACTTTTATGTTTAAGGTTTTACAATGGTTTTAGGTTATAATAATTGTCACCCTTTTCTTTGCCCCTGGTCTGTGTTCTATCCCATTTCTGGGTCCTTGTTTTCCTCTTTTTTGGATTACTCCATATTTGATGAATCATATTATAAAGTAGCTTTCTGAGATGAGTATATGGAAATTAAATTTTTTTCAATCTTGCATGCAAGTCTAAAAATGTTTATTTAGCCCTAACTAGTTTGGCTCAGTGGACAGAGTACTGGCCCATTATTATTGACCAGTAGCCCTGCGCACGAATCCGTGCACCAGTAGATCGCTGCCGCCCTCCTGTGGCTCCCCTCGCACCCTCTCATAGCTTGTTGCCCTGCCCTCTCCTGTAGCCCTCTGCCACCCACTTGTAGCCAGTAGGTTGCTGCCGCCCTCCTGTAGCTCCCCATGCCCCCTCCTCATAGCTTGTTACCCTGCCCTCTCCTTTAGCTCTCCGCCTCCTACTTGCTTGCTGCCCTGCCTTGTCCTGTAGCTCTCTGCCACCCACTTGTAGCCAGTAGGTCGCTGCTGCCCTCCTGTAGCTCTCTGCCCCCTGCCCCACCCTCCTGAAGCCCCATGCCCCCTCCCCCCACCCCCTTATAGCTTGCTGTCCTGCCCCCTCCTGTAGCCTTCCACAGCCCACTAGTACCTTATTGGCCCACCCTCCTGCTGATCTGTGATCTGGTCGTGATGTGCTTGGTCATTACACCTCAGGGCATAATGGCTAATTAGCATATTCCTCTCATTATACAGGACTAGAGGCCCGGTGCACAAAATTCGTGCACAGGTAAAGTCCCTAGGCCTGGCCCGTGATCAGTGCCATCTTCCTTGGCTGCCGGCAGCTGGCCCTGCCTCCCGCCACCACCCACCCCCAGTTCCCCATTCAACATTGGGAGATCAGAACCTGCTGGCCAGGGAGAGGGACCGAGAGGTGGTCAGTGCACCTCATAGCGACTGGTTGAGCGATCATTCTGCTGTTCAGTCAATTTGCATATTATATATATATATATTAGAGTCCTGATGCATGAAATTTGTGCAAGAGTTGGCCTTCCTTCCCCTGGCTGCTGGCACCAGCCTCCCTCTGGCACCTGGGACTCGGGCTTCCCTCACAGCCCCAGATTCCTCCAGGAGGATGTCCAGTCTAATTTAACATATTATGCTTTTATTATTATATAGACAGATGTGCTCCAATCCTTCCACTTCCAGGGAAAGGGGCAAAGGAGGGTTGCTAAAAGTGATAAGGGAGGCAGCAGGGTGAACTTTTCTTTGGGGGGGAGTGTAGAGTTTCCTCCTGATGAGGGGCTTCAAAGGACAGTGGCCTACTTCTGCTACCCTCTGTCTCTAGAGATACAATTTCTGATTGGCATTTGGCAGGACAGAGCAGTTGCAGGTACAGGACTGGGAGTGACTTTCTGCATGCAGCTCCCTGGAGAGTCTCTTCTGGCCAAGGAAAGCTTTGTTCTAACCATTTCTCCTGGAGCCAGTACTACTGGGTGGTCTGGGGCAGAATGGAGGTGGGGCAGGGCAGGAAGAAGTATGGGGTATAAAACTGGGGGTGGGGAAAAAAGAGGGTGAAATCTGTGTGTGTGGGGGGGGACGGGGAGGGGAAGGGATGATGCAGAGGGAGAGTTGGGGTCAGCATAGGAAGGTTTGGAGGTACTGGGGGAGTAAGAGGGACCAGCAGGTGCCAGAACAAGGGTCTATGGAATCAGGTGGAGGTCCGCGAGGCTGAGTACAAACTAAGTCTTTTCCCAGACCCTGCCATCCCAGATGGCTAGTGGGAGGGGTCCATAGTGAGGTCCTGAGCTCCCTACACTTTGTCTGAGGCTCCAGAACATGTGGCAAACACGCCTCATCCCTGCCACCCCCACCAAAGTGCTGCCATTTGGAATGCATTTGCAGACACAGGGATTGTTTTTAAGTTAATGGTTTTTAATTCACTCTGCTTCCCACTTGTTTTTTATTGAAAAGGCGGATTCTGCTGGTGTGTGTTCCTTTGTGGGGGTGGCAGGGGTGTTCTTCACAGGCAGAGATCCGATGAGAGACAGAGACAAGAGGCCCAGCAAGACATGGGGAATGAGTAAACAGGATCAGAGAGCAAGGAACAGCGAAGAGAGATGCACAGGGCGAGATAGACAGACACAGAGAACCCAGGAAGGCTAAAGGAGGAACTCAGCCCTAAGAGCAGAACAAGTGTGCTGAGAAATCCTGCTTCAGGAAGGCTGATCCCTCCACCTCCAACTAAGGCCCCTGGGGCTGAGCTTGCTCTCCTCTGTGCTCTGGTTCCATTCAGTGTAGACATGGCTGAACGGGCCTCAGGAAAGGGCTGAAAGGATGTGGTGAGCAAGGACTGAGTACGCAGGACCAGGGTTGCCGAGGGCTAGGGATCCAAGACCAGACTGAGAGAGGAGGACCTGGAGGCATTCCCTCCCAGGACCCTGCACACCTTATGTTTTTGAGCAAAGCCCGAATCCCAAATCCTGTGCCGCGGCTCTGGAGAGTGGCGGCCCTGGCCTGCTGTGCCACCTAGGGCGAGTTCCCTAACCTCTCTGAGCCCTGGCTATGCCACCTGCAGGAGAGGACCGCTGGTGGCTGAGGTTAGAAATGGCTTGGGAGGCAAGGAGATAAGAGCACAGTTTAGGACACCTTGGTTTGGCGGTTACATCCGAAATCCCAGGGATTTTTGGCCTTGGCCGCTGCCCTGGGCTCACGTTTATGTAGGACTTGCACAAATGGGAGAGCTGGGCGCTAGCACCTTCCTTCCTTCACAGCTGAGAACCAGTTCATCCTCTCTCTCCCCCCGCCACCCCTCCTCTCCTCAGTGCCTGGTATTCGCAAACCTTCCCAGCAGCGAGTGTAGACACACGACCAAGGACACACAAAGATATCCCCAATCCAGCACGTGGTGGCTCTGTAGACAGTTGGGCAAACAGACATATGACACTGGGTGCTGTAGACAGGTAATAGAGCTCCCTGGCCCAATGAGAGGGCACATTTGGCAGAGCAGTGGCTCTATGAGCGAGTTCACCCCGGGTGCAGCTTCCAACCCCGGAGTAGGCGAACTGAAAGCCCAAGATAATTAGAGCTAATTACATATGTGCAAACAGCCAAAGCAGAGGCCGTGGGCCAGTCACTCCTCCCCTGCCTGCCCTCTGCAATCCCACCCCAGCAAAGGGGTCTTACTGGCATAGCTGGGGCTGTGCACCTGGGGAAGGGCGCGCAGGTGGAGAGCCCCTGGGGCCCAGGGGTTCGGGTGAGCCCTCCGCCTCCAGAGCACCCTGCCCCCGTGATTACACACTCCAGCGCATGCTGCTGCCCCAGAATGGCAGGTCGCGACTGGGTTAGGAATTGGACCAGAACTTGGTCCAAGCACTTACTGACCTTGTGCTGAGCGGGCGCTGGTGGCATGGGCCCCAGCATTTGGGTCTTTAGGTTTCTATTATCTTGGCCTCCTGAGCATTCCGTCCCTGCGAAGATTTGAGATGGGGCTCTCCTTGTATCCTGCCTCAGGGATGCCTGTCTGGAGCTGAGACTGCAGGATGAGGAAGGGACAGAGTCTGGTGCTTGGCTTTTGGTGATCAGTTTCTCTCTGCCTGGATGCGCCACAGGACCCCAAAAGAGTGACTCTCTGAGCTTTCATTTGCATGTCTATACCGTGCATGCCTCCTCTGAGCGGGCCTAAGCTGCAATCGCACATCCTTAATGCTGCCGAGAAGACGGGAGAGCCTCCTGCCACCACCACTGCGCTCGCAGGTGTCAGCCCAGCTTATGGCTGAGCGGAGCTCCCCCAAGTGGGAGCACACTGACCACCAGGGGCAGCTCCTGCATTGAGCGTCTGTCCCCTGGTGATCAGTGCACATCATAGCGAGCAGTCGTTCCTGGTCATTCTGCCATTAGGGTCAATTTACATATTACCCTTTTATTATGGTGCACGGGTGGGCACCCGCCAGCCTGCCCTGATGGGGGCCCTCGATCGGCGTCAGGGTCCCCGCTGGGGGATGGGGCCAGCCAGGGCGAGGGGCTGAGGTCATTCTGGTTGTTCCACTGTTTTGGTCACTGGGCTTTTATTATATAGTGAAAGAATGTGGAAAAGGAAAGCAAGTACTATCTTACCTTGGAAAATTTGCCAATGTGGGCACATGACAAGAAAGATGAAATACTTTGGGACACTTCTCACAGCACAGGAGTTCCCCTCCATTCTGACAAACTGCACACCAGTCCTCATTGGGGTCATCTTCTTTCCTTGTGTCTCCAACATGAAGAGGTGACTTTTGGGAGGCATCCAGCCACGCAGACTTTCCATTTGAGGAATTTTCCTGGTGAAGTCCAGGTTGATCTCCTGTGCTATCAGGGGCATCTGACCTGAGCACAGACTCCTCAGAAGAAGAGGTCTGACTACTATTTAGGAGCAGGGAGGTCAGTATGCTTCTTGGATAGTTAGTCTGCAATGGAAGGAGGTAAGAGTATATGTATTCTTAAAACTGGCATTCTTAATTAGCACTATTGTAATTTTAGACCAAAGACTGCTCTCTCATGGGCACCTGGTAACTTCAAAGGAGTCTATGAACATGCATGAGAAAAAAGAATTATCTTTACTGCTAAATATATTAGAATCTCTAGTGGTAAAGAAGACATGGGCCTCTACTGGAAAACATCGTCAAAATAGAATATCAGTACTTAGGGAGTGTGGACAATAAAGAAAAATTATATGAATTTGCTGATGAGTTCAGAAATGGGAGAATGGGTGGGTAGTGTAGAAGTCAACCATAGGAAATATAAGTACATTTTAGTGGACCTGTTCATTTAAATTATACCTAGACATAAAACATGCCTAGTATAGATTTTTTAAAAATCATTCATAGAGCTATTAGTAACTTTAAGATAAATAAAAATTTTATGTTGGAGCCTACGATGATGAAAATGTCAAATCACTAAGTCATTTTCACAATCTCCAACAGTGTTATAAAATGCTCCTCAATACTGTCAAAACATTTTCCTACCCTTACATACATTCCTATGGAGTCCTCTGTCCTCCTGTTACAGAGTATAATGAAGGAGCTGCTGTACTGGGGACTACCCTTTTCTTTGCCCCTGGTCTGTGTTATATCTCATTTCTGGGCTCATTTTTCTTTTTCTTGGCCTACTCCATATTTGATGAATCACACTGTAAAATAGCTTCCTGAGAATGAGTACATGGAAATTAAATTTTTTTCAATCTTCATGCATGTCTAAAAATGTTTATTTACCCCTAGCTTGGCTTAGTGGATAGAGTGTTGGCCCATGGACTGAAGGGTCCCATGTTGGATTCAGGTCAAGAGCACATACCTTGATTGTAGGCTCAACCCCTGACCCTGGTCGAGGTGTGTGTGGGAGGCAACCAATCGATGTGTCTCTCTCACATTGATGTTTTTCACTGTCTCTCCTCCTCCCTTACACTCTCTCAAAAAAATCAACGGAAAAATATCCTCAGGTGAAGATTAACAAAAACAAACAAAAAGTTTTTTTCACTAATGTTCTGGTACTTATTAGGCCCTTTCAGTTCAGATGTCCATGCCTTTCAGTTACACTAAGTTTCATTATATTATTTGAAGTCATTGGTATAATTAAAAAGTATATACATATATAATATAGAATATATATGTATATATTTTTAAAATATATTTTATTGATATTTTACAGAGAGGAAGGGAGACGGAGAGAGTTAGAAACATCGATGAGAGAAACATCAATCAGCTGCCTCCTGCGTAACCCCTACTGGGAATGTGCCCGCAGCCAAGGTACATGCCCTTGACCGGAATTGAACCTGGGACCCTTCAGTCGGCAGGCTGACGCTCTATCCACTGAGCCAAACCAGTTAGGGCAAAATATATATATTTTTTTATTGACTTCACAGAAGAAGGGAGAGGAGGGGTAAAACCATTAATGATGAGAGATAATCATCAATCAGCTGCCTCCTGCACACCCCACACTGAGGATCAAGTCTGCAAACTGGGCATGTGCCCTGACCGGGAGTCAAACTGTGACCTCCTGGTTCACAGGTCGACACTCAATGACTGAGTCACTTTCAGTTGGGAGATAATTACATTTTGAGGCCTAGTTTCTTCATCTGATTCTTGTTTCACTATCACAACGGGAAAATCATAATTTTCCGGTGGTCCACCATTTTCTTGTTTTATTCGGATTGGCTCCAACATGACCACTGGGACTTTGTGTGTAGAGTCAGCTCCTGCTGGTTTGCTAGAAGAGCCAGAGCTATAAGTGTAAGAAAGAAAGAAATAACCATCTAAGAATGCTACCTTAAGTATCTCCAAATAAAGTATAACCGCTTTGAGAATAATGACCTATCTTCACAGCAATGGTAGCTACTATATCAGCAATAAATGGTACGTAAGTTAAATACACCTGCTATGTACGAAGTTTCACTTATGAATAAAAAATGTTCTATATATCAATTTATCTAAATAGTTATGTTACATCTGAAAAGATACTTAAATAAATTTAAATAATACCACAATTAAAAGACAACTGCCTTCAATATTCTGAAGCTCTAAAATTGGGCAGCCAGATTTAGTTCTTAAAGCTAGCATCTTTTTTTAGGTTTTTCCATTTCTTTCTCTAATCATGAAAAAGAGAACTCTAGGCTCATATTAATGATTTATTATTATGAAGTGTGAAGATAATGAGGGACATAATTTATTGATGTTCTGCTATTTAAAAAATGTAGTGGGGAAAAAAGCTTTTACAGATAGCCACTATGTTTTCATGGAATTGAATCTAAACTTTCTCTTTTCAGAGAATGCTCTTTCCATGTGATGAGCAAAGCAGTAAGTTAAAATAGAATTTCAACAAATGTAAACTTATTTTTAAAGCAAAATCATTTGGTCATTAGAAAATTCAGAAAACACTGAAATTAGCATAAAATTATTTTTTCTTTTGCCTAAGTTTGTATTTGTGTGTATTCTCATATAGTACAGTGTGTTATATCCCACATTTTTATTTTTTCCTTGCTATTATGATAAAATCATAACATTTTATTTTCAACATATATACAAAGATATTTGTATCTTTAAAATTAAAATTATAATTTAATCCATTATGTTAGTTTATTAAATTAATGTAATATATAATAATTATTAAATTATTTTAATTTAAAAGTAAAAAATAAAAAAAGTTGTTCAGAATGTATTGACCACCCAAAGTGTGTTGAGCACTGGGGCAAATAAATATAATTAGAGATTTTCTATCTGGAGAATAAGGTTAAGTTAGCTTACCTTCCTCGACTCCCAACGCTCGAGGCACTAGGTGAACGTATTGGTGGGTGTACACTAGTCATAGTAACAGGTCCTGAAGAGAAGGAAGTCAAACACATTCATAAAATGAATAATTATGTACTTAATCCCAATTGAATGTGCTCACTTAGTACTACACTGAAACTGAACACATAAAGTATATAAAAAAGTAAGTAGTTGCTAAACTCCTTGCACACGAGTTGAAATTGAAAAGGTATAGAGGCTTAACCTTTGATTTCTACTTTGAAAATACTGTATACTATACTAATTTTAAATTGTGCCAAACCCTTTTAAATCATCCAACAAAAAGGGGGAGGATTGTGGGAGTTTTTTAAATTACAAATTGAGAAAAAACTGGAAAAACAAAATCAAAAGGAGCCCACTTTACCTGCAAGACCTGGAGATGGCACTGATGAATTTGGTGACTGGACAGTCCTGTTTGAGGGTGGTCTTGGCTGGCCATGATCTATACTAGTATCCTTCCTCACAATATTGTCCAGCATAATAGTACTTGAACAGTCAATCTTATAAAAAAAGAAAATTATTTCATGGTACCCATGGTTTGCAAATTAAAAACCACTTTAAATGAATAAGAAAACTTTAATAGTTTAATTATCACCAAATACTAAAACATGAAAAATTGTATTTGAGAAGTTCTGATGCATATCTTCGCCATAACAATCTTTAAAAAAACTTGCACTCTTATTGCTGGTTCGATTGCTAGTCAGGGTACACGCCCAAGTTGGGGGTCGCGATCCCAGTAAGGGTGTGCAGGAGGCAGATGATCAATGATTCTCTCTCATCACCTTTGTTTCTCCCTCTCTCTCTCTAAAAAAAAAAAAAATCAATAAAAACATTAAAAAACAACAACAAAAACTTGGCACTCTTTTTTGTTAATCCTCACTGAGGATATTTTCCCATTGATTTTTAGAGAGAGTGGAAGGGAGGGGGAGAGACAGAGAAAAACATCGATGTGAGAGAAGCCCATTGATTGGTTGCCTCCAGCTTACACCGGGGCAGGGGATGAAACCAACAACTGAGGTCCGTGCCCTTGACCAGAAATCGAACCCGTGACCTTTTAGTCCAAGGGCCGATGCTCTAACCATAGAGCAACAGGTCAGGGCTTTCACTCTGCTTAAATGTTACATGTTAGTAAATACACCGAACATTTGCAGAACACTAACGTCAGCTAAGCACACTATTACCATTTGGTAGGAAAAATATACAATGTTTCAGAAATCATGAGCCAAGAGGAAGAAGTACTGTATGTCATTCACACCCTTAAAAATTAAAGCAAAAACATTTTTAATACTTAATTTATTTAACAATAACAAAATGTAGCCAATTAAAAAAAAGCCTGGTGAGAAAAGTAGCAAAATTTCACATTTTTGCAGATTTCTTTAGCATCTTGCTTAATAACAGCTAACGGGATTCTTATATCTGCTTATGTACTAAATCTCTTTTGATGAGTGATTTTGATTGAAGAATATGAAGAAAAATCAGGCCTTACACAGGGAAACCTTATGGAACCTCTGAAAGGGTTGTAGAGACACCTGTGTCCCTGGCCCATACTTTGAGAACTGAGGCTTTGGAATGCACCAGAAAGCTGAAGCAACATTTCCAGAACACTAACGTCACCTAAGCACACTATTACCGTTTGGTAGGAAAAAAAATGATCCCTGATGGATTCTTGCTTTAATAAAATAGGTACACAAATAACACATGTTTCATAATTGATTACCAGGCTAAAATACTGATAAATTTCTATCAAATAAGACTTTAATGCTTTAAATGCAAATATTTTTCATGCTTCTATATACCATTTATTTCCAAGGATGTCTTTGTGATTTAAATCCAGTTCAATTTTCTAATACAGTTGCAACCTTTCTCAACCAGGATTCTAAGAAAGAACTAAGTCCTGTAGTCCTAAGGCACAGACTGTATAAAACAAATTTACTTCTTGCCTCTGCATTTAGAATGGTACTAGTTATGAACCATCCTTAGGAGGACTGAGAAAACAGACTCTCAAAGCAGTTTCTTGTTCTGTGGGTTAGATGAGGAATCTCAGTTGAGAAAGGCTAGTGAATACAGAGTCACCTCTATCTGAGAACTGCAGAGAAAAGAGCAGAAGGATAATGTTAATATTTGTAGGTCATATTTCAGTTGGGGGAGCAGGGAAGTACCAAGGTCATTTATGTTTAATATTTTTTTTTGGCAATACCTTAGTCAGTACTTTTTAGAGAGTGCAAAGAGCATTGAAATGATTGGATCTGAAAGATCTTAATTTAAGAAAAGTTATTTATAACTGTGGAGTAATCCTAAAAGCTAAAATAAAATTATCAGAATGAGACAAAAAGTTTTTCTATATATTACCTATGTTTGAAAAATACATGTACTCTACCATTTAAAGGATATATAATTATTTAAAAAAATGAAATAACTTTGTTAAGGTTAATGATGTCACTATTGGGAAATGTTAGTTGATCTCAGTAACTTAAACTAAATAATTAAAATTTTAAAATTCTTTCACAATCTTACAAGATATTAAAAGTTTTTAATATTTGTGTGCATTACCTAACCTAACAAAATACAAAACAAGTATCAACTTATGTATGGAGATCAGTCTATAGAATATTTTCTGCCTTTGGAAAGATTTTTAAAAAGTCATACTAACAAAGCTAGAGAGTATAACAAAGCTAAACACACACTAGAGGCCCAGTGCACAAAAATTTGTGCACGGGGGGGAGGGGGGAAGGGCCCTCAGCCCGGCCTGTGCCCTCTCAAAGTCTGGGACCCCTCAGGGGATGTCCACCTGCTGGCTTATGCCCGCTCCCTGGGGGATCGGGCCCAAGCTGGCAGGCAGACATCCCTCTGGCAGCCCGGGAACCCTCGGGGGATGTCCACTTGCCAGCGGGGAGCAAGCCTAAGCTGCAATCAGACATCCTTAGCGCTGCTGAGGCGGGAGAGGCTCCTGCCACCACCACTGTGCAGGCAGCCATCAGCCTGGCTTGTGACTGAGCAGAGCTCCCCCTGTGGGAGCACACTGACCACCAGGGGGCACCTCCTGCATTGAGCGTCTGCCCCCTGGTGGTCAGTGTGTGTCATAGTGACCAGTCATTCTGTTAGGGTAAATTTTCATATTACCCCTTTTTTATATAGGATAGAGGCCTGGTGCACAGGTGGGGGCCAGCTGGTTTGCCCTGAAGGGTGTCCCGGATCAAGGTGGAGGTTCCCGCTGGGTTGCCTGGCCAGCCTGGGTAAGGTGCTGATGGCTGTTTGCAGGCTGGCCAAGCCCCCCAGCAGGGACCCTCACCCCATGGGGGTGTGGCCAGCCTGGGTGAGGGGCTGAGGGCCGTTTTCAGGCTACCCACAGCCCCTTCAGGGTGGGGGGGGGGGTCCTGCTGGGGTGCCTGGCCAGCCTGGGTGAGAGGCTGAGGGCTATTTTCAGGCTGGCCATGCCCCCCCGCAACCCAAGCTCCTAGCCTCTCTTTTTCTTTTTTTTTCCAGCGCCTACTTGAGCAGAGGCCAGGGTGGGCTGGAAGCAGGTATCTGGGATTTATTTATCTTCTATAATTGAAACTTTGTAGTCTTGAGCGGAGCCCAGGGCAGGCGGGAAGCTTGGCTTCCTCCATCACCAGCGGCAACCCAAGCCTCCTGCTCAATCTAGCTCCATGGCCGCCACCATCTTAGTTGGGTTAATTTGCATACTTGCTCCTGATTGGTTGGTGGGTGTAGTGGAGTGATGGTTAATTTGCATCTTTATCTTTTATTGGTGTACATGTATATGTATGTATATGTGTATATATGTGTGTATACACACACACACAGATATATATATACACATATATATATATATACTAGAGGCCCGGTGCACAAAAATTTGTGCACTCGAGGGGGAGGGGGGGTCCCTCAGCCCGGCCTGTGCCCTCTCGCAGTCTGGGACCCCTCGGGAGATAACGACCTGTTGGCTTAGGCCTGCTCCCGGGTGGCAGAGGGCAAGCCCAATCCCTAGGTGCAGCCCCTAGTCGGGCTCAGAGCAGGGCCGATTGGGGAGTTGGGGCGCTGCCCCGTCATGCACAGAGCAGGGCAGATTGGGAGGTTGTGATGCCACCCTCAGTCACGCTCAGGGTAGGGCCAATTGGGGGGTTGGGGCACCGTCCCCTGTCACACTCAAGGCAGGGTCGATGGGGAGGTTGCGGTGCCACCCCTGTCACGCACAGAGCAGGGCCAATCAGGGGGCTGGGGCACCGCCCTCTATCACCCACAGAGCAGGGCCGATCAGGGGGGTGGGGCGCTGCCACTCTCATACTCAGGGTAGGGCCGATGGGGAGGTTATGGCTCTACCCCATCAGACACAGAGCAGGGCCTGTGGCGGGGGGGGGGGGGGAGGGTGTTGGGGAGCTCCCTCCTATCAGGCACAGAGCAGGGCTGCTCAGGGGGTTGTCACGCTGATCCCGGTGCCGGGAGGCATATTACCCTTTTACTATATAGGGTATAGGCCTGGTGCATGGGTGGGGCCTGCTGGTTTGCCCTGAAGGGTGTCCTAGATCAGGGTGGGGGTCCCCACTGGGGTGCCTGGCCAGCCTGGGTGAGGGGCTGAGGGCTGTTTTCAGGCTGGGAGTGACTGAAGTTCCCAACCGCCCCTTTTTTCTTTTTTTTTTTTTTATTCTGGGCCAGCTTTACCTTGAGGCTTGGCTCCAGCTCTCAGGCCTCAGCGCTGAAAGTAGGTTTCTGGCCTTTGCTTACAATGTTGCGAATCTGCTGGCTGAAGGCCAGCGGTATTTGTTACAATGTTTCTTAAACTGCCCGCTCAGAGGCCTGCAGTCGCAGGCGGGGAACGTTGGTTTCCTCCAACGATCCTCCGTCACTGAGGCAAGCAAGCCTCATGTTAGTTTCAAGCTGCCTGGCTGCCGGCCGCCATTTTGGCTGGCAGTTAATTTGCATATCTCGCTGATTAGCCAATGAAAAGGGTAGCGGTCGTACGCCAATTACCATGTTTCTCTTTTATTAGTGTGTGTGTGTATATGTATGTATGTATATATATATATATATATATAAATATATATATATATATATATATATATAAATATATATATATATATATATATATATATATATATATATCTCTGGCTTTTAAAATAAACTTTAATTGATTTCAGAGAGGAAGGGAGATAGACCAAGATAGAAACATCAATGATGAGAGAGAATCATTGCTTGCATGCCTCCTGCATGCCCCCCACTGGGGATCAAGCTGCAACCTGGGCACGTGCCTTTATCTGGAATCGAACCCAGGACCCTTCAGTCCACAGGCTGATGCTCTATCCACTGAACCAAACCAGCTAGGGAGAGAGTTAATATATTTAACTTAAGTAGAAATCAGAGGTAGTTTTGCACTGGTATGATGTAACAGAAAATGTTTTCATTTCTAAGAGTAAACTTGCCTCCATCTCTGCTAATGTCTTTAATTCTAGCCTCCCTCTCTAATCTGATATTTTCATATCACATTCCAGCAATTCACCTCTCCAGTACCTCTTTCCCATGTCCTTTCTTCCCTGCTTTCCCAGCTTAGATTTCATATCCATCACCAAATCATTCATTTCCATAATCCATCACCATTTTGTAAATCATTCATTACAAACACCTTAAGCTCCAACACCTTGAAAGATATTATGTAGTATGGCCAAGTGTCTATAATCTTTTTATCTTTCTTGTTATTATATCTCTAAAGGATGTAAGTAACTTCTAAAACAAACACATACAACCTATAATGCAACAAACTCATGCCTTTTACCAAATCCAAGTCCACGTAAAATTTTCGAAATAGATTCTTAAAAATTCTCTGTATACTTACATCTGGCAGAGAAGGAAGATTATAGGAACCTCCCACTGGTGAGCTCAAATCAATCATAGGTGAACTAAAAGTCTTTCCATCATATCCTGCTGCACTAGTAATGGTGGGACTAGAAGGAGTAGAGGATGTGCTATTGGCAGTTGATGGGGGGGCCTGTCCACTGCAAATCTGCCACTACAGTAGAAAGAAAAAGAAAAGTTGTCCATCAGCGGACCTATAACATAAAATGTCCACCTAATCCCAATCCAGACACAAAACAAAACGGAAGACAGATTCTGCAATTTGAATTCAATTGTAATTGGAAGAGGGAGAGGGCACAGGTATACGTAACTTTCATGAATCCTGTTGAAAAATAAAAAGCGCTGATTTTTACCAGAAGACAGCAATTAGTATACACCAGAAAACCACAGTACCAATCTCAGAAAGCTTGTACGTACTGGAAAAGAAATATAAACACATGCACAGCAACCTCAAGGTAAAGATGGCGGGCAAAAAACATACATTTTCTGCTGTCCCTACCTGATATATATGAAACTAAAATAATGGTTAAAAGGAATTTCTAAAAGGCACCGAGTCATAAAGACAAAGAAAACAGGAGAAGACAGAAACAGAAAGCAGATGGACAAATAGAAAATTACTTAATCAATTTGATAAAGCTGAAATCTAAGGTGCCAGTGGGGAAAATAAAGAAGGAAATCAACATACACTGCAGAACCCCTAAAAGCTTGGGAATTAAAAGTATGAGAGGTGAAGCTGGGGCTAAAAACAGAATAATCTGAGTGCTTAAGAAGTGTTAAATCTTGTGTTTCTTTCCTAATCTACCTGTAGTTACCCCAAGGTAATAAGGGCTTCCTTCACCTACACAGAAAAAGGCTAGAAGTTTATTCTCCAAAACAGGTAGATCAGTGTCATTAGACTGAAGAGCACCATATTCAGTTGCAGGCAGAAGTACTGCATGGAAAATGAAGATTCAGAAACCATACACACACTGAATGCTGAGCTTCTCACCCAGTCTGCTGATGGCTTACTCCCTATCTTCTTCTCCCAGCTGGCTTCAACAAGTAGCCAGACCCTGCATTTTAGGCAGAAGACAAAAAGATCCTTTGGGGAATGGATCAGCCTAAGAGTTAAGACCTAAAGATGGTGACTTTAGGAATTCTCCCAATAAACACTGCTAGTAGCCTTAATATTAGAGTGAAACCTCAATCATCAAACACTAGCCCAAGACCCAAGATTTCAGATTTTTTTAACTCATTTCTTATATCTGAACAGGTAAGCAAGCATCATTTATGTTAGTGGCCAAGATAAATATATTAACTAAGCTAACACTAGGAATGCTTAAGTGTACAGAGATGAACCATGCTGCTGTCTTTAATCTACATCGAAATCTATAAAAAAAAAAAAGACTTGATTGACTGGATCAAGAGGTATATGCATAATAACTGAGAAAGCATATAAAACAATTTTTCCTCTATACAACTCTTCCAAATTGTTATGTTACAAACATCTATAATAATAAAAGTGTAATATGCTAATTAGATCTGACAGCCAAATGACCTTCCGGACATCATTCCAGACGTCCTTCTTGACTAAGCGCGGCAGCAGGGGCTGAGGCAGAGGTGGTTAGGGGTGATCAGGCAGGCAGGTGAGCAGTTAGGGACAATCAGGCAGGCAAAGTGGTTAGGGGCAATCAGGCAGGCAGGCTAAGTGGTTAGGGGTGATCGGGCAGGCAGAGGGGTTAAGGGCAATGAGGCAGGCAGGCAGAGTGGTTAGGGGCAATCAGGCAGGCGAGCGGTTAGGAGCTAGCGGTCCCGGATTGCAAGAGGGATGTCCGACTGCCGGTTTAGGCCCCATCCCGCTGTGGGATGGGGCCTAAACCGGCAGTCGGACATCCCCCAAGGGGTCCCAGATTGCAAGAGGGTGCAGGCTGGGCTGAGGGACCCCCCTCTCATGCACAAATTTCATGCACCGGGCCTCTAGTTTCTTAATAAAATACTGGGGGAAAAAGGAAAGCAACTAAGAGCTATCTCAAGACTGTGCAGAGGAAAACATTCCCATATACAATACCATTAACATATGGCCTACATTAAATGGAGGGATAGTGTCTGAAACATTCTAATTTATATGCTCCACTGAAAAAACTATGTAAGGAAACCTGTGAATGTGAAAGTTATCTTTACTACCTACCCCACCTCTCATATCCACCCACCTCTCCCATCTCTGCCCACCCTTCCTTTCTCTGGACTCATGTCCTCCTTTGCTCCCTAGAATAATCAGCTACAGCTGATGTATGACCCTCCAGGTTTTCTCTCTATATATAATATTAAAACAACAACAAAAAAAAACCCCCACAAAAATAAGATAATACCTCACAAGAATTTAGCATGTTTTCCCTCCATTTAATATACTTAGATCATATATAGACTACTGGATGTTCTTAATAGCTAAAAGGTATTCCCATTGTACAAAGATAATTTGTTTTTTAAAAAATCTACCAATTAAAACCAATTCTCCACTACATTTTCTACTAGCTTGTTCATTTATTCATTCATGTTTAGATTTTTGATCAGGAAACATTCTTAAGAGTGTAGGTTTACCCAGTGCAAATAATAAATGGGAAAGAGGGAAAGTAAAGTTTGTGTACACAGAATGTGGTAGGTATTTTAATACACATTAGCATTAAATCTCAACACAACTCTATAAAGCATTTATTTTATATTTAGGGTGAATAAGATTTAAAATATTAACCTTGCAAAGGCCAAAATCTAAGGTCAAACTGTTGTTTGGACCCTTTTCTCTTCACCTCTAATGGTGAAATAAAGATAGGAATGAATTTTACACACATGAAGTGTGTATACTTTTAAAATAAAATTTTCAAATCATTTGATTGAAATGAATGTCACAGAATTATGGAAATAGCATCATATGGATTTTAGCCATGGCAAAATAATTAAGCTGAAATCAATCTACAAGTCTTAGCTGGAAGAACTATTGACAAAGTGCTTAGAGAAGACAGGCACTGAGAGAACATTTACTTTTTAAAAAAATATGTAATACCTAGAATATATTTTTATCTGAAGACATATATCACTATTAGAAAAATCAATACCTATGACACACTGATTATTCTGGGCTTTCATTCACATAAAGTGGCTTGATTTTTTCGTGTTAATTACAAAGCATCAAGACCTTTCTCTTAGCTTTGTCTCTATAAGTCAGTCTATAATAAATTTTGTAATTCACTTTTTTTTTTACAAAAAAGCTTGCTCTTACTTTTCATAACTGTTACTTTATCCATAAATTCAATGTAATTGCAAAGTAGCAAAAGGAAAATAAGTGAATATGTATACCTGCTTTATCGCTTGTTGAGCCAAGAAAGCCATCTGTAAGGGATTGGGCTTTATTGCTTGCCGTGGCATATTCTGGGTTGGTGGATATCTCAGCTGTTGAGAATGAGGAGGGAGAACTGGTCCACTGGGTTTGGGGCTGTGATTCTGAAAATTTATCAAACGCGGAGGGGGTTGCTGAAAAAAAGAAATAAAACCAATTCAGTGACAAAAATCTGAAAGATAAAATTATAAAGCACGCTATTTTATTACTTTTACAGAAAAACAGCAACTCTGCCACAGATGAATCAATAATTAACACTACAACAAGGGAATAGGGGAATAAGGCAGCCTTCCAGAATGTATAGAAGCAATTTAAAGAAAAGGGGTTTTATTAAGAGCGTTGGTGGAGGGGTTTCCGATTTTAAGTAGGTTATACCAGGATTGGGCCTATGCCATGTGGGGAAGTAGGGAAAATTTATCTTTGGTTCTCAGTCCTTGTTTATGATTAACTTTTGCAAAGAATTGCCCTCTTTAAACCTCGTAAATAAGGTGGTGGTAAAATAATAATTGCTAACATTTATTTATCAGTTATTATAGGCCAGGTACTGCTTTAGTTCTTTACATGTGTTAACTCATTTAATCTTCAAAACAATCCTGTGAAGTAAGGACAATTTAAGTATCTTGTCAAAAATTAAAGATAGTAAGGGATAGAGCTGGGATTTGAATTCAAGTACTCTGGCTCTAAAGTCTATACTCTCACCCAATAAATCATTAATAATGAAAACAGCTGATATTAAGTAACATTTTGAAGTAAATGAATTTTAGGTGTTATTTAAATAAAACTATATGCCAGGCATTGTGATCAGCATTTTACTCTCCCCTTATTTTACAAATTAGAACACTATACATCAGAAAGCTTAAATAACTTAGAAAAAAAAAAAAAAAGCCACACAGCTAGTAAAAAGGCAACACTAAGGCTTTTCTCCAAATCTAGTCTGCCATATTATTACCAAATCATGTTCTCTTATTTTGCTAGGGGTTAATATACTAATTACAGCTTAGAGGATGTGTTTCCCAAAAAGAAAATAGATTTGAACGGAAACCCTTCAAGGACAAAATTGTTTGATTACAGGATAGGGCAAGGGCTGGGAAGGCAAGCTTACTTTGCTCTTAAATGCTAGCCCTAGAAACTGAAGACCAGTGTTCTAGAAAAAGGTAACCTTATATGCCAGTCTCTCTTGCCTATCCAATTCTCTTTATGGTTGGCAACTATTGCAAATACTTACTTGCAGGCTATCTTAACAGTTTATTTTTATGACTAGAACTTCTCAGAGAGGGAACTATTAACTCTCACATTCACAGGGGACAATGAATGTGGAATTTATAAACTTGAATTAGCAACACCTTAAACTTTGACTCTGTGAAGGCAGAGGAGGTATAAAGAGGATAGCTGTCTTCTTTTTTCTCTCCCATTTTTGGAATTTCCTTTCCTGGATAACATTGCTTCTCTCTCCCCACTCTTACAAATTAACTAGCACTGGGTTCACCCTCAGTAACTTTCTCAAGAGTAATTATAAAACCAATGAAAAATAGATTTAAATATTGTTTCAAGACCAAGGAAAATTTTGTGGGTGAAAAATAAGTGTCAAAATTTTACAAAAGTAAAAAGCCTAAAGCAATAAAAATTAATTTTTATTCTTCTACTAAAGTTTTGTGATTTGAAGGGTTTTATATCATAAAAACACAGAGAGAAAATAGTTGAATCATAGTGAAAAACTACATTTATCTGTAGTTTTTTTAAAAAGTGGAAAAGCACCCAAAATAATCCTTAAAGGAGAATCCTTAGTTGTAGAAGCTTCTGCTACCATGCTATCACACCCTCACCCAGATTCAGTCAAGATACTTGGTGCCACAGTAATGTACTCCGAGGAATCAATCAATGTAGGAATGAACATTGAACCTGCAGTTTGGTAAGATGTTAGGTGATTTTTCTTGCTTCTCCTAAACTGTTATATTTGACTGAATTAATTTCTAAAATCCTTGTGACAGAGGAAGCAACTTGAAAGAACATTAGGAACTAGTTATTAGCATAAAAAAAAGCAAAATCACTGTTATTTTATTTTAAAATAAATATTTTTTATTTTAAAATAAGTATTTTTTAAGTTTTTTAGAGAGAGGAAAGGAGAGGGAGAGATAGAAACATTCATGAGAGAGAAACATTGATAAGCTGCCTCCTGCATGTGCCCCCCGACTGGGGATTGAGCCCTCAACCCAGGCATATGCCCTGACCAGAAATCGAACTGGTTCACTCCAACCACTGAGCCAAACTGACTAGGGCAGGTTTTGATTTTATTCTAGGTCAGTAGTTTCCAACTATGTAAAAATTGAAGGGTAGCACATGTCTTTCTAAAATCCATCACTGCGTAGGGAAATTAACATGTACATATAAAATGAAAATATTTCCATAACAGTTAATCTGGCTCAGGTTTGAGAAACATTCATGTGAATTATGTATAAGACTAGAGGCCCGGTGCACAAAAATTTGTGCACTGGCGGGGGGTAGGGGGGTGTCCCTCAGCCCCACTTGTGCCCTCTCACAGTCTGGGACCTCTCAGGAGATGACCACCTGATGGCTTAGGCCCGCTCCCGGGTGACAGAGGGCAGGCCCAATCCCTAGGTGCAGCCCCTGGTCGGGCTCAGAGCAGGGCCGATTGGGGAGTTGGGGCGCCGTCCCCTGTCATGCACAGAGCAGGGCGGATCGGGAGGTTGCGATGCCACCCTCAGTCACGCTCAGGGTAGGGCCGATTGGGGGACTGGGCCGCCGCCCCGTCACACTCAAGGCAGGGTCGATGGGGAGGTTGCAGCGCCACCCCGTCACTTACAGAGCAGGGCCAATCAGGGGGTTCGGGTGCTGCCCCCTGTCACACACAGAGCAGGGCCGATCAGGGGGTTGGGGCACTCTCCCATCAGACTCAGGGCAGGGCCGATGGGGAGGTTGCGGCTCCACCCCATCACACACAGAGCAGGGCCCGTTGGGGGGTTGGGGCGCCGCACCCTGTCACGCACAGAGCAGGGCAGAAAAGGGGGTTGGGGAGCTCCCTCCTATCAGGCACAGAGCAGGGCCAATCAGGGGGTTGGGGTGCCTTCCCGTCACCAACAGAGCAGGGCGGATAGGGAGGTTGTGGCCCCGCCCCCTGTCACACACAGAGCCGCAGGGCGATCAGGGGGTTTGGGCGCTGCCCCCTATCACGCTGCTCCAGGGGCCAGGAGGCCTCGTGGCTCCACTGATTCCAGTGCTGGGAGGCCTCGTGGCTTCACCTGACACCGGGGCAGTGAGGCCTCGCTGCTCAGCTGATCCCGGTGCTAGGAGGCCTCTCGGCTTCGCTGATCCTGGGGCATGAGGCCTTGCGGCTCCACTGATCCCGGTGCTGGGAGGCATATTACCCTTTTACTATATAGGATAGAGGCCTGGTGCACGGGTGGGGGCCGGCTGGTTTGCCCTGAAGGGTGTCCCGGATTAGGGTGGGGGTCTCGCTTGGGTGCCTGGCCAGCCTGGATGAGGGGATGATGGCCGTTTGCAGCTGGTCACACCCCCTTCAGGGTGGGGGTCCTCACTGGGGTGCCTGGCCAGTCTGGGTGAGGAGCTGAGGGCCGTTTTCAGGCTGGCGGGTGACTGAAGCTCCCAACCTCTTTTTTTCTTTTTTTTTAATTCTGGGATTTATTTACCTTCTATTGCTGTCACTGGAGCTGAGAGCCGGCTCCAGCTCTGAGACCTCGGCTGCTGAAAGCAGGGATCTGGGTTTGTTTGGGTTCTATAATTGTAACACTGTTGCAGTCCTGCTCGCTCCAGCTCTGACGGCTGAAAGTAGGTTTCTGGGGTTTGTTTAGGTTCTATATTTGCAACATTGTTTCTTAGAGTGCAAGCTCAGAGGCCAGCAGTGGCAGGTGGGGAACCTTGGCTTCCTCCTTCACTGGAGCAAGCAAGCTTCCTGTTCGCTTCAGCTGCCTGGCTGCCGGCTGCCATCTTGTTTGGCAGTTAATTTGCATATCTCACTGATTAGCCAATATAAGGGTAGCGAAGTTATGGCTAATTACCATGTTTTTCTATTATTAGATAGGATAACATATGTGCCCAGTCGGAGTGGCTCAGTAGTTCAGCACCTGTCAATCTATGAACAAGGAGGTCACAGTTCGGTTCCCGTCAGGGCACATGTGCAGGTTGTGAGCTTGGTCCCTGGTGAGGGGCATACAGGAGGCAGCCAATCAATGTTTCTCTCTCATCATTGATGTTTCCATATTTCTCCCGGTCTCCCTTCCTCTCTGAAATCAATAAAAATCCTATACTGTATAATAAAAGCCCACGAACTGACTGGTGGAACTACCAGAATGACCGGTCAACCGGTCATTCGCTATGACGTGCACTGACCACCAGGGGGCAGACACTCAATACAGGAGCTGCCCCCTGGTGGTCAGTGCGCTCCCACAGCAGGAGCAGCTGCTCAGAGGTCAGGTCCACAACCGCTTGGCTGACCGGGATGAGTGGCACTTGCACAGCAGGCAATCCCCGCAGACCATGATCCCGACCAGTGCACAAATCCTGTGCACCAGGCCTCTAGTATATACGTAAAAAAACAACATGTGACAGTGCTAACAAACTTAGATCTGAACATCAGAGTGTAATAGAATATACTGTATACCGCTAAGTAAAGAGAGATGCACAATGTCTATCAATCAATCATGTAATTATGTATTCAACCTCTGTATCACCGAATTCTTTAACCATGCAGAGTACATGGTTAATCTTCAGAGGAAGAAGAATAGAGAACAATCATGTAAGTGACTTTAAGAAGCACTCTTTTAAATTTACCTGAACCCTATGGACAGATGTACGGTACAATCTGAACATATCCACAAAGCCAGGAACACATATACACATCGGCAATCATTTTTGCCACAAATATATGTAAATAAACTGATAGAAAAGGAAGAGTGTTGGTAAGCATGGCAATGTAAAAATCTGTAGTGTGCGCAAATTGATAAGTGGAAAATGCATGAGTGAATGTTTTGCAGAGAGCAGCTAAAAATGAAACATGAGAGTGTGAAAGAAGGTTCAGGAGTTACTGAGAGTCAAGAGGAAAGAACAGTGTATGAGGTAATGACCGAAAGATGCAAAAATTACTTTATTTCTAAGTGACAAAACTGGGTCGTATAACAGAGATTGTACATTATATAGATTATGTTGCAGTAAGTCCTAGAGAGGAAAAATAAGATCAAAAGCATATTTCTGAGATACACAAGCTAAAGGTTCAGTGTTCACTTCTGTCTGTCATTGCTTATATAAATAACTACTTATGGGAATGTGACCAAGTTAGATAATATCTATTAACTGCTTCAGTTCCTCACTTCTTACTGAAAAGCCAATTTACTCTTTTTCAGGTTAATAAACTACTTAATGAATATCACTTTACCATCTTTCAGACACTTAAGATAAATATTAATTATGCAAATGCTTAGCACTAGGCACTCAACAAGTTATTATTTTTTCTCTCTTCTCCTCCTCCTCACATTTGTCTTCAGAAAAAGTTTTGGCATTCTTTGCAGTCTATCTGCAATACGTCACTGCAGTCTACAGAGGTAGTAACAAAATTACTCCTCAATTTTCTTAACAAAATTTCAACTTTGCCAGTTTCACTCCTGATATCTAAAGCGTACAATTCTTTCCTAATAGAACACTCACCATAAAAACTTAAATTGCTTGTTATTTACTTCCTGTAAAAACCTGAGTTAAAACAAAGTTTGAAAGGAATAATCAATTGGGTATACTAATATTCCCTTGGATTTGATATGCCTTCCTAATCAAATCACTAGAAAGCCATAAACCTCAAGTACATCACCTCAGGCCTTCAAAGAAGCAATTTAACAATATTAGGATCTACATATGCCCACAACTTTTATTGAGTTAAAATAAGAGTCAGATGAACACCATTTTTATATTCTGTACTAGTAAAATTACCACAAAAATACAATTATTCCATTTAATTGTTGTTTTATAAAGACTCACTCACATAATATCTTCCTCTTAGTGCTAGTAAAATGTTTCTCCTCTAAATAACTAATATGTTTCCTTTTTATCACACAATATAGATATTTCTATTTCTTTTTTTTGGGTTGACAATAAGTTTTGAGCTAAGGTTTGCTCTCAAGTATGAGAATTCTTAGCCTAGTTCTACACACTTTGACTCTTATTAAACCTCATTCCATTTCATTCATGTCATTTACTGTCCTTCAAATCCTTCTCCGAAATAGGAAGAATATAAATTCATAAATATATGTAACTGAAAACAACAGACAATTTGTATGAATTTGACCTTATAGTCTTTACTAAACCTTTATTAAAACTAAGTATGCCCACATCTAAACTGAGCAGAACAGTTAAAACATTTAACAAAATATATGACTATTTTATCTTAAAAAACTGGATTAAAAGTAAATAATAGTTCATAATTAGTGAAAATAACAATGGTTCATGGAATATTTGCTCAGAAATAAAGTTTGAAAAAGGTATATTTCTAATGAACCACATCCCTGCCCCTTTCTATTTCATTTTGCCCTAGTTTCTAAGATGCAATGTGGTTTTCTAAACACTTGCATCCCCACACTGTCTATAATATTAAGACAATGTAATAAAAATAGATGTACCGGTTAAATAAACCATTGATTCTTTTTTTTGAGAAGGGCTAAAATCTAGGAGCTAAATCAGGAATCCTCAATGTAATACATTTTTAAAAATTTATATATTTAAATCATGGATGATGGGTGTCCTGGTTATTTTCAGAGTTGCTAAATACAATTGTACTATAATTATCTAAGTTAGGACAGGCCTGCTTCCAAATTTACCTGATGAGAGATGGAAGGTTGCTGGATGGGCCCCTGCATTCTAGGGCTTGGTAAACCCATAGGTGCTGGCCTCCGTTGCACCTGTTGCCTCTGAGCCATTACCTGTTGCTGCATATGCTGGAGTCGTAACTGAGCTAGGCTGATCTGTGTTGGAAACTTGGATAACTGGTTTGAAGATAAACCACCTTGTGGCTGTGAATTCTGTTCCATGACAGGATTCTGCTTAGGCATTTGTGGTTGACTCTCTTTATCTTCAATTACTAAAGAACCTAATTAAAGAAAAAAGATTAAGTTCTAAAGTTTTTCTGATAGTGAAATACTACATTTTGTAAGGTTATTGTTGCTGAACTTCCAAACTGTCAAGGAACTTTTCAATCTCAGGAAACCTTTACACTCTTAAAAACAGATTGCCCCAAAGAGCTTTTATTAATGGAGATTCTATCTATCAAAATTTACTATCTTTGACACTAAAAATGAGAATTAAAAAAATTTACTTACTAATTCATTTAAAAATCCAGCCAGCATGGCTCAGTGGTTGAGCATCGACCTATGAACCAGGAGGTCACTGGTTCGATTCCTGGTCAGGGCACGTGCCCAGGTTGTGGGCTTGATCCCCAGTGTGGGGCATGCAGGAGGCAGCCGACTGATGATTTCTCTCTCATCATTGATGATTCTCTCTCTCTCTTCCTCTCCTTTCCTCTCTGAAATCAATAAAAATAATAAACCCATAATAGCATATCTTTATGAAAAATAACATTTTTTAAAAAATCTTAGTGAAGAGTGCACTGTTTTATATTTTTGAAAATATCTTTATATGTCTGGCTTAATAGCTGAACTCCCATATCTGTTTCTGCATTATCTGTCATAATATATTGTTTAGGTTGAAATACAGGAAGAAAATCCAGCCACACAGATACGTAGTTGGAAAAGGGAAGCCTCTGTGGTTCCCTGAAGGAGCCTCAAACTGTACATTTTGAGAACTGCTGTTGTATATTAATACAAGCAAATCTGACATTGGTTCTAAAAACATTCCCACAAAGTATTTCGGATTCTTTAATATTAATAATTTGTACTCTCTCGAGTTCCTTACACTTTCACAGTGCATACTATGTCAGTTTTCTGATAGAGAATATTTTGAGTGGCTTACAATTACCCTTAAGAGAGTTTAAGGGTGCATCTAATAGGTCTGATCCAAGCACAAGGCAAAGATTAATTTTTTCAACAGTACAGATTTAATTAAATGTTTTAGATTTACAAAGTATATGCATCCTAAAAAAAAATATGGCTATAATTCATTACTTACTGGTTGTTAAGCACTGTGACAGCAGGTCTATGTATATTGTTAAATTCCTCTTCACAGATAAGGGATCTATGGTTCAGAGACATTGAAGAACTTACCCAAATCCCCAAAACATTAACTGAATATTTATCTAGATCAATACTTTCCCCTTGCCCTATGAAAGATGTTTCTCAGAAGCCATGGATAACAAATTTGGAAAATTTGTCTCTTTGGAAGAATTAAAATGTAAATTTCATTGTCAATGACAATTTACAGAGCTATAAATGACAGCTCTGAGAAGTTCTATAGTAAAGAATATCATTTAACTTTATTATATCAGAGTTTCACAAACTCTTCACAAACAGGAGATGCTGTCTTTATTTGATTTTTGCTGATGCAGACTTACCTAAAACTATATCCATTTTTGTGTGTGCAATTATACATATATTCTTACCTTTACCTATGCCTATATTTGTATTATAAATGATATACACTGAGTGGCCAGATTATTATGACCAGCCAGTTTATTATGACCACCCCATCAGTACAATGAAGTGAATTAGTTATGCAAATAATAATAATAATAATAATAAAACCTTCCGAGTATTTGCTTAGGAAGTTTTCAATATTCAGTATTTTTGGAAGTGTCAATGAAGTACTACTGATGGGGTGGTCGTCATAATCTGGCCACTCAGTGTATATAAATACATACATCTCTATAGATGTGACTACTTGTGTGGATATATAACTGTGATAGGTTCTCTGTACAGTTGAATGTGGGCTGGTAGAGAGGGTTAACGGTTAAGAGATAGTTACTTAGACACATGCTTTGTATTAATTAACTAGAGGCCAGGTGCACAAAATTCATGCACTGGGGGGGTAGGGGGCCCTCAGCTCAGCCTGCACCCTCTCGCAGTCTGGGAGCCCTCAGGGGATGTCTGACTGATGGCCCTGTGGGGAGCAAGCCTAAACCATCAGTCGGACATCCTCAGTGCTGCCGCAGAGGCAGGAGAGGCTCCCGTCACCACAAGTGTGCTCGTCAGCTATGAGCCCGGCTTCTGGCTGAGTGGCACTCCCCATTGGAGCGCACTGACCACCAGGGGGCAGCTCCAGCGTCAAGCAGGATCCAGCTGAAACGGGCTCTCCGACATCCCCTGAGGGGTCCTGGATTGCGAGAGGGCGCAGGCCAGGTCGAGGTATCCCACCTGTGCATGATTGGGGCAGGGAGGGACGCAGGAGGTTGGCCAGCCGGGGAGGGACTGTGGGAGGGCTCCAGGGTGTGTTTGGCCTGTCTGGTTCAGTACTGATTGGCTGGATCCCAACAGCAAGCTAACCTACCAGTCAGGAGTGTCTGCCCTCTGGTGGTCAGTGCACGTCATAGCGACTGGTTGACCAGTCGACTGTCTGCTCCCTGGTGTCAGTACATGTCATAGCGAGAAGTTGAGCGGCCTTAGCATATCATTAGCATATTACGCTTTGATTGGTTGAACGGATGACCGGACACTTAGCATATTAGGCAGTGATTATATAGGATACATATAGTAACACATGTAGGTGTGTGTTTGTGTGTAGTTCCAGTTGCTTGCTTTTTATCAATAAACATATAGCTTTATGTACTTCTAAACTGAACTGCAGGGGTCATCTTATTATTTTTTCTTTAAGGGGAGACCCTATCATTATTTGTTTTGTTCTTCCCTTGTAAAAATGCTTTGTGTAAGTCGATTTCTTCCGTTCCTAGTGTATTCTGAGAGTACTGGCTCTCTATCATGCCATTTTTTCCTTTCTTATGCAGAATCTAGCCTACAGAATGAGAGCGCAATCATTTTTGATGATTTTGAAACAAAGTTAATAAGCCCAATGATGTCATCAAAGGGAATATTAGTTAATGAAGAATGTGTAGGGAATTCTTAAATTTCTGTTTATATAATTTCCCTGTGAGAAATTAAGAGAGTAGGCAAAAAGTGAGGACTTTTTCTCCTAGCAAATAATATAACAAGAAAGTTAAAATAACTTCCTACTGAACTGCCTGCAAGGATGTTTGAACTCTTAATGTTACCAAGATGATAGTCTTCCTTTGTGATAATTCAGTGGACACCAATATTTAAAATTTGGGCACTTTTCTGTATGCACATAACACTTCAATTAGAAACTTAAATATATATATAATTATATTTATTATATAAAATTATATGTATAATTATTACAAAAAGGCAAAAGAAAAAGCAATGTTTTCCCTAGCCAAGAGAAAGCAAATGAGTAACATTAGGCATTTGATGACTGAGTCTAAAGAGAAAGCCAATAATAGTATTGGAAATACTATTGTATCAGAAAACATTCTAAGTATCAAAAAATTCTATAACAATGCCAGTCACAAGTCAAGAGTTTTATCAACCCATTTTGATAAAAAGTTCAAGCAAGAGTCTATGAAAAATAGAACTCCTTAATTCCGAGTCAACAGAGGATGTTTCATAACATCCATATACTTATATGTATGTTAACATTCATGCATGTGTGACATATATACACAGATTAATAAAATACTAACAAAAATTCCATGTTTTTAAACCAAGGTAACAAAAACATTTTGAGGGTATAAGGAATACATTTTCAGTAACATAATAATCATTAAGAGTTCCAGAAACAAATGGTACTTGGGAAAATATACATAATGACCTACCTAAATTGATAATATTTTGAGCCCAGAAACCAGGATCACAGTGAAATTGGATGATATTGTTGGTCACTGGGGAAGCATCACACCTTGCTCGAAGGAGATGCCGTAACCGGTATGTAATCTAGAAGAAAGGAGACAATTAAACATTAATATCGTTATCAGGCCAATAGTTTATTACACTCCCAGTAAATACACAAAAAAAATAAGTCTCTTGTATGTGTACCAACACAAAATAAACAATAAAATATACACTATAAAAAGTAGACAGCCTAGCCTGGCGGGTGTGGCTTAGTGGTTGCACATTCACCTACAAACCAGTAGGTAACGGTTCGACCTTGATTAGGGCACATGCCTGGGTTGCCAGATTGATCTCCAGTGTGGGGTGTGCAGGGCAAAACATTTTGCCTGGTCAGGGCAAAACATGTTTTTGTGTTTTTTTTTTAAAGTAGACCTGCCCTAGCTGGTTTTGCTCAGTGGATAGAGCATCGGCCTGCAAACTGAAGGGTCCCAGGTTTGATTTCGGTCAAGGGCACATGCCTGGGTTGCAGGCTTCATCCTCAGTAGGGGGCATGCAGGAGGCAGTCAATCAATGATTCTCTCTCATCATTGATGTTTCTATCTCTCTTTTCCTCTCCCTTCCTCTCTGAAACCAATAAAGATATATTTAAAAAAATAAAAATTAGCCCTAGCCGGTTTGGCTTAGTGGATAGAGCGTCGGCCTGCAAACTCAAGGGTCCCAGGTTCGATTCCAGTCAAGGACACGTACCTTGGTTGTGGGCACATCCCCATTAGGGAGTGTGCAGGAGGCAGACTGATGTTTCTAACTCTCTATTCCTCTCCCTTCCTCTCTGTAAAAAATCAATAAAATATATTTTTAAAAATATATATAAAAAAATAAAAATTAAAATAAAAAAGTAGACCTACAAAACATCACAGAAGCACCAACTATTTGTAAAATAAAAAATTTTTAACACATTTTGCTCTTTTATTTATTTTACTACTTCTTTTAAAGAAGGATTCAGAATTTAGATTAGGTGGCTAATGAGTTACAGAAAAGACAAACTAATCTCTGCTAGTTAGTGGAATGGTTCTCCTTGTTCCCATGCTTTGAGTTTCTTGTCATCATTCCCCCCGACCCACATGCAGTCCTCAGTGAGTCCTTAGGTCATTCTCCCTCAGCCTTTGAAGAGTTTAGCCCCTGGTTCACTATAACCATCATCACCATTACTCCTATCTTAATTCTTAGTGATTTTAACATCCACCTAGGCGATCTTCCTTATAGCTTGCTTCTTCTTCCACAGATACAAATACTCTCACAAACACTAAAGGTCCTATAAGCCTTTGCTCTTACAATTTTTCTCTGTCCTATCAATCTTACTTTACCGTTATCCCTACCCTCTTATCCCTCAATTCCTTCTTATCCAGCTTAAATCCCAGGGTCAATCATCATAAACATTTCCTTGCATATACACCTCTTTCTCTCTCATACTCAATTACACAAAATCCCTTTCCTCTTTTCAACCTTTTCCACAGATAAAACAAAACTTACTTCAGATCAGTCCCTAAGGTTGACTGGCTATCATAGACAGTTATTAATTTACTAGAGGCCTGGTGCACAAAAATTTGTGCACTCGGGGGGGGAGGGGGGCCCCTCAACCCGGCCTGTGCCCTCTCGCAGTCTGGGACCCCTCGGGAGATAACAACCTGCTGGCTTAGGCCTGCTCCCGGGTGGCAGAGGGCAGGCCCAATCCCTAGGTGCAGCCCCTGGTCGGGCTCAGAGCAGGGCCGATTGGGGAGTTGGGGCGCCGCCCCGTCATACACAGAGCAGGGCAATCGGGAGGTTGCGATGCCACCCTCAGTCACGCTCAGGGTAGGGCCATTGGGGGGTTGGGGCACCATCCCGTCACACTCAAGGCAGGGTCAATGAGGAGGTTGCGGCGCCACCCCGTCATGCACAGAGCAGGGCCAATCAGGGGGTTGGGGCATTTCCCCTTGTCACTCACAGAGCAGGGCCCATCAGGGGAGTTGGGGCTCTGTACCCTGTCATGCACAGAGCAGGGCCAATCAGGGGGTTGGGGCGCAACCCCCTGTCATGCACAGAGCAGGGCCCATCAGGGGGTTGGGGCGCCACCCTCTATCACCCACAGAGCAGGGCCGATCAGGGGGTTGGGGCGCCGCCACTCTCACACTCAGGGCAGGGCCGATGGGGAGGTTATGGCTCTACCCCGTCACACACACAGCAGGGCCCGTGGGGGGGGGGGGGGGGGAGTTGGGGCACCACACCCTGTCACACACAGAGCCGCAGGGCGATCAGAGGGTTTGGGCGCTGCCCCGTCACGCTGATCCCGGTGCCAGGAGGCCTCGCGACTCCGCTGATCCCGGTGCTGGGAGGCATAATACCCTTTTACTATATAGGGTAGAGGCCTGGTGCATGGGTGAGTGCCGGCTGGTTTGCCCTGAAGGGTGTCCTGGATCAGGGTGGGGGTCCCCACTGGGGTGCCTGGCCAGCCTGGGTGAGGGGATGATGGCTGTTTTCAGGCTGGGGGTGACTGAAGCTCCCAACCGCTACTTTTTTTTTTTTTTTTTAATTCTGGGCCAGCTTTAGCTTTGAGGATTGGCTCCAGCTCTTAGGCCTCCGCTGCTGAAAGTAGGTTTCTGGCCTTTGCTTACAATGTTGCGATCCTGCTGGCTGAAGCCCGGCAGGTGTCTGGGGTTTTGTTTAGCTTCTATGTTTGTTACATAGTTGCTTGCAGCTCAGAGGCCTGCAGTGGCAGGCGGGGAACGTTGGAGTCCTCCGTCACTGAAACAAGCAAGCCTCATGTTAGTTTCAAGCTGCCTGGCTGCCGGCCGCCATCTTGGCTGAGTTAATTTGCATATTTCCCTGATTAGCCAATGGGAAGGTTAGCGGTCGTATGCCAATTACCATTTTCTCTTTTATTAGATAGGATGTTCTGACAAACTTTTATCATTTACTTGTTTATATCATCATAGACTTACATATTCCTACTTAATTCAATGTGTTCTGATTCATTACTATAGTTACTTAGTTTGAGTTTCAAATTGGTTGATTTGCCCAGAGAGAGCCCTTTTAAGCTGGATCCCAGTCCTTTTGACATGTCCTCAGCATGTCTCTGGCAAAAGATGTTCTGAGTACAATTTGTACTTTTCTTCACTTTGCTTGGAATTTAGAAACCAAGATCTGGAATAACATTGGGCTTACTGCTTTTGTGGTGTAACACACAAACACACACACACTCATTTACATATTGTGTGTGTGTGTGTGTGTGTGTATAAACATCTATAACTATTTCCAGATCTCTGTGTATATGTGTATAAGTCTTGAGTTCATACTTATATTCTTAATTCCAATCTATTGCACCTTAGGACTCTATCTTTAGCAAAAATATTAGCTGCCATTACCCTCAATATATTTACTTATTACCTTAATCCACTCACTTATTTGCTTAATATAACCAAAATTTGAAAGATTTCTGCTCACTGTGTTCCCCACTCATCACTTATCTCTGGCTGCTAGCCTCATGCAGTGTGATCCCCCAACCACCTTCACTACCCTGAGTCCTCAGTCACCATGCTGATGAGTCCATGACAAGAAGGAAAGATGATCATTTTTCTTTAAAAACATTTTTTTTCTGTCTTTAGGCAAATATACTGACTTAGCATTTTGAGTATCATATAATTTTTAGTGTGGAAATTGAGCAGTATAAGCTCTTTTACCTGCCTCCCACCCCACAAAACAACAACAACACAACAACAATTAAATCAGAAATGTGAGTACTTCCTTAAGAGGAAATCAGCTTTAATTAAAGGAAACTTTGAGGTAAATTACTAGGACATCGATACTTTTTTCCCCTTGAGGTACTAAGTTGTAAACTTCTTCTTTTGCTGATGAAAAGCTACAAGACACAGAATTTACTTATAATTCAGATAGCTAGTATCTATTTGTCAATTTAGTGTGGCAAGGTCTAAAAGTAATGTCAAAGTTGGCCAAACTCTGCTCCTTATCTTAAGCAACATTTTTTCTGTTGTATTTTACTGCCATTCAATGTAAAAATGAGAACTCTCTTGTCAAATTATTTTTGTCGAATGTGTTGGGCTGACATTGATTAACATAATATAGGCCTGGCTGGCGTGGCTCAGTGGTTGAGCATTGACTTATGAACCAGCAGGTCATGGTTCGATTTCCAGGCAGGGCACATGCCCAGATTGCGGGCTCGACTTCCAGTAAGGGGTGTGCAAGAGGCAGCAGATGAATGATTCTAGCTCTCTCTCCCTCTTCCTTCCTCTCTGAAATCAATAAAAATATATATTTTTTAAAAATTATATAGGCTTCAGCTACATAATTCCACAACACATTCTGTAGACTGTATTATGTGTTCACCATCCCAAGTCAAGTCTCCTTCCATCAAATGCAGATTTTAGATAATGCTGAGAAATCATAAAGCCTAACTAATGTAGACGATAAACAATGGTCATTAAACATACTCATTCATCTCTTCAGGCATATCTACACTTAAATGAACTCAGGTTTCACACTGAAAACTTAGTGTTGTTCAAAAAGCAAAAAAAAAATTTTTAAATATGAAGGATGTCCAAATAGCTTTTGAGATAGCAGTACTATAACTGTCTTCTATTGAAGTTAAATAGACTTAAAAAATATTCATTAAAAAAATTTCGTTGTTTCTAAGTTCCCAACACTATAAAAAATTAACAAAGTTTCATTTATACCTACAGCTTCTGACAGGAGATGCTATCTGGTACCTTATTTATTATCATTATTTTTCACTATCAATTTTTCATTGAGTTCCTTAAGTTCCTACTTTTAGAAGTATGATCTAATGAAATTCATAGACAAATACACAACTGTAATAATAGATGAAAGTAAATAATAGGATGATGGACATATGCATAAGAGCTTTGTAAACAGAAGGGGATTCTAACCCAGTTTTGGTCACTGGAGGCTGTGAAGAGGAAAGAAAGATGAACCTAAAATGAACATTGTAGTCTCTAAAAAGATGAACATTAGTTATTTAAGAGAAAGAATAGGCATTTTCAGAAAGGGTACCAGAACCCAGGTAAGAGAGCACATGGTATGCTCTGAGGATCAGAAATAAGGAATTGGCAATGAGACATTCAGGAAACATAAAAAAGATCTTTGAAGATCAATTAGATGGGAGCGTGAGGGAAATGGAATAGGATTGTAGAATTCCTTTTTACTACTTATACCCTCAACCGTTTCCTAATCTATCTTTAGTATTATAGAAATATCTACTATTAGTAAAAAGAATGCCTGTGTTTCATTCTTCTGTCAATATTTCTTACCTTCCTTCTAAATAAATGTAAGGATAACAGAAGAATCCTAAGGAAATAATGTGAAAATGTTTTAAAATATATTTAAAACTCGACTTCTGAAAGGATTCTGCTATTCCAATAGGTCTGGTCTTTTATTGACTAAAATTCCTATAGCAAAAAGATGAACTAAGAATTGCAATCCAAGATTGAAATTTCACACCAGCAAGACATTTTTTGTATTTTTATGTATGTAAAAGCCATCATTCAAAGAATAACCTGAGTAGACATGGCTATGTTTACAAAGCATAAGAACTCTTAAAAACAGGTTGTATAAGATAGCAACTTTCAAATTTTTGAGACTGAAAATCCTTCTAAATATGTAAAAAATATTTAAAGAATAACCTGGGTAAACATATCATATTTATAAAGTATTATATTTATAAAGTATAAGAGCTCAAAAAAATACAGTTGGCATAATATGGTGATTTTCTAGTTTTCTGAGACTGAAACACACGTTTGAAATACTTAAAATGTTTAAAAATAATCATAAGCTTTAACTCTGCATGCATTCCAGGCAATGCATTTTATTAATTACATCCTTTTCTAAATAGGCACTAAGGCCAACTCGAATTACGTAGGCTTTTAAAAATTAGAGAAAAAAAACATGATCAGGAAATCTGGTAATTTTAGTTCTTTATGGTTCTCTGTGCCTATTTTCTCCTATAAGTAACAGAGAGGACAATCATCCTCTCTCCTATTTCAAAAGATCATCGAGCAGATTAAGTAATCCCATCTTCTATTTCTTTTCTATTAAGATCTTCACCGGAGGATATATTCATTGGTTTGTATTGTGTGTGTTTTTGGAGAGAAAGGAGAGTAGGGAGGGAGCGAGGCAGAGAGAGGGAGTGAGGGAGAATGGGAAGGAGAGAGGGAGAGAAACAAACACTGATGTGAGGGAGAAACAGCGATCAGTTGCCTACTGTACATGCCTGATTTAAGATCAAACCCACAACGTATGTGTCCTGACTTAGAATCGAACCCTCAGGACAATGCTCCAACCAACTGAGCAACCAGGCCAGGGTCCATCTTCTATTTTTACTGTTTTCTCCTATTATAATTACCAACAAATTATATAATAAAACTAGAGAAACAAAATTTTATACTAATAAGACTAAGTATCTGATTATTATGTATGAATAATATGCTTTATTACACATACAAATAACATCAGTAACAGAGAAGGTCTGTACTACATAGAAGTTTTTTTCATTAGACCAATGAAGCAGTTTTACAAAAATGACCTAAAGATTAAGACTACATCATTGATTATTATGAAAGGAAAAAATCATAAGAGTTTAATACAATTCATGATTAGAAATAGTTGCAAATCAATTTTCTAATAAATCACTCAGCATTTGGATTTAGTTTATAAAAGCTGATCCAGAAGTGCATTTCATTATTTCAAAATGGTCATTAGAAATTTCTGCCACTAGATTCCAAAAAATGGAACAGCTGAACAGAAAACTGATTTGAATATCATAATCTGATTACAAAGTATACATTTATGTGGAATCTTTAATAAAATGAAAAGGAACAGGAATTTTTAAGAACATTTATACGGTTTTACCTCCAATGACTAAAGGTGTCCTACATCCTTAATACTAAAGTCCTGGTCCAAAGAAAACAGTATCTGCATCACATGGGAGCTTGTTAAAAATACAAAACCTGTCTCCACTCCAAATCCACTGAACCAGAATCTTTAGGTGGTTACTATGCAATCATCATATTTTCAGTACCAAGATTCAAGACTACTGTCCAAATAGTTGGTCAAATAATAAAGCCACTTTTCTCTAGTAAATGGGTTGAAATATTCAGCACCATATACGGCTGACAGAATAAACAATGTAGAAGAGGAACACAGCCTGGCTGATGTGTGACCTCAGGCAGGTTAAACTTAGCTCTGTACCTAGGTTTCATCACTCACACAATGAGGATGGAAAGGTATACCTATCTCATAAAAGTAACATAAAAAGTTTAAGGAAATATTACATGGAAAATGCTTTGAAATTAGTCCCTGGCACACGATAGATAATTAGAAAATGTTTATTATTATTAAGTTCATTTGCTACTAAGACAGAGAAAACTTAGAAAAGAACAATATAGGAGTGACATGGTAGTTTTACAAATCAATTTTATCTACCTACCTACCTACCTACCCACCTACCTACCCTCGCAATCAAAAGATTTATCAACCTGGGGATACAAATAACTCTCTAAATAGGAGATGGAGGCTGGGAGGAAAGGCTGGAAAAATGACCACAAGGCCAAAGAGAAACAAGAGAAAGAGAGAACAACATGGGGAAAGGGGACAATTACGTTATCTTCCCTAGATGGATTTTCTTCTGGATAGTCCGAGCCTAGTGGTAGATGAGTGAATTTATTGAGTCCAGCCACTTGGGAGAGAGACAATGGCTGGCACTGTACGCACTAGGGCCCTTGAGGTGCCCCTCCTCCACCAAGCAAAACCTTGCGGGGGGAGGGGCAAGGAGGGAAGGTTTTACATTCATTACCCACACCCCAACCCCAAATAGATGACCTGGAGCTTTTAATCTGTGAACATGAGCACGATGATAGTGCACACGCCCATCAAGAAATGCATGAAGGACTTGTGCTTTTCTATCAGCTAAAATAATATTTTAAAAAATCCAATACAGTAACACCTCGCTGTAACAGACTAATTCAGGCAAGGGGATGTCTACTAGTATTAAAGCTAAAAGTCCATTATAGAATGAAGTAGGTTTTCTGAATGCATGTGTTAAAAAAGTGACAAATTAGTTTACCTGTTTCTACTTATGTAGACACGCTTGTGTAATTAAAATTAAGCATATATGTGCCGAAACCGGTTTGGCTCAGTGGATAGAGCGTCGGCCAGCGGACAAAAAGGTCCCAGGTTCGATTCCGGTCAAGGGCATGTACCTGGGTTGTGGGCACATCCCCAGTAGGAGATGTGCAGGAGGCAGCTCATCAATGTTTCTCTTTCATCGATGTTTCTGACTCTCTATCTCTCTCCCTTCCTCTCTGTAAAAAATCAATAAAATATATATATATATATATATATAAATTAAGCATATATGAAAAGTTTAATTTCACAGAAAAGTTTTCTATATGTATTACTGTAATTTTAAATTTATACTGAATAGGTCTAGTAAATGCACACATTCACCAGTCACCGAGAGTAAACAAATGCACAGGACTGGGGCATGGCTTAGCACACGTTAAAACTGCTGCAGAAAGTCATGCCACGTTAACAACAGAACCAATTACCATGTGCATGATATGGTGTGATCATATGCTCATCATTCGCCAAACACTGTTTACAAGCAGTGGACTTTTTCATTTAAATATGTAGACCACAGCTGTAAATAATTTTATGTAATATTTATGTCGGCAAAATTACTACACAGTGTTTTTTTCCCAACATATGGCCTGTTCGGTAGAATTTGTTAAAAATAACAGTGAAGTAAAAAAAAAACCCAAAACCCTGTTAATTTAATTATAAGCAAGTCTTGGTTCAAAAGCATTTTAAAATTAACAGGGTGTTAATTTTCACATATAACTTATGGACTACAAGTTTTGTCTGTTAAATCCGAAGTCCGTTAAATTGAGGGTTTGCTGTATACAGGGGTGGGGGCAAAAGTAGGTTAATACAAGCCTGCAACCCAGGCATGTGCCCTGACTGGGAATCAACCCTGCAACCTTTTGGTGCACAGGACAATGCCCAACCAACCGAGACACACCAGCCAGGGCTCTCTTTATATTCTGATGGAATATTAAATGCCACACTTGGTCTATCTTACCAGTCGCTTGCTATAAAGTAGTGCTGTACTGCTGCCACTGGAAACTGCCCATTTAGAAAAATGCATGACATGTTCCAACTGTTTAGAAAGTCCAGCCACTTCCTGTTGTTGTTGCATAAGTTTTATGCGATGGTCCTTCGCCAGGCTCTAAAAAGAAAATAATTTCAAAATTAATTCTGTCTGTAACATATCTTAATGGTCATTTTCAGATTACCATATTAGAATAACCATCACCTTTAAGAAACTGAAAATCCTCTTAGTGTTGCTTTTACACTTAGTACAAAGGATCAGTCTTAATGCAGCAAAACACTGTGCTCCAAATGGTCCTTATAGCCACTGCTACCACCACCACCACGGCCTCCATGGCCCCTAACCTCCACCCTCAGTATGGTTTTATACACTGAATGGCCAGATTATTATGACCGGCCAGATTATTATGACTACCCCATCAGTACTTCATTGACACTTCCAAAAATACTGAATATTGAAAACTTCCTAAGGAAATACTCTCAAGGTTTTATTATTATTATTATTATTATTATTTGCATAACTAATTCACTTCATTGTACTGATGGGGCAGTCATAATAATCTGGCCACTCAGTGTATATCTGGGACTTAGGTTTCTGTTCATGTTATCTTCCAATATCCAATAGGAACAAAACCTGTAGATTAGCTATAATACAGTAAATGCCTATTAAATTCAATACCCACAAATAAAATAAATATAACCTTTCCAGCAATCTAGTAAATTACCAGATCATATAATTTACTCAATCCCATGATTTCACCTTTTAGGCATTCTAGTCCTCATTGCAACCATATGGTAGACAACATGTATGCTTCGCATGTGGTAAAAAAGCTGTAACTTTTTTTTGGTCTAGTGAGTGTTACATGGTGACTAATGTGCCAATGCACTCTCAGAAAAGCTACAGAAAAGCAGTACACAGAATTTCTCTCTGAGGGTTTTACCTTTCTCTAAGGAAGTACACAAGGAAGAACACAGGTTAATAAAAAGTGAAGAGCACTGAACTTGGGTTATTTTAAAGGTTTCTATCCAAAAATCTCCTTTACCTAGCAAGAAAAGAGGAAGAAAACAGGGCTTTCTACTGGCTTAAAAAAAAAGTTTAAAGTAAAATTGCTATGCTCCAATATAGACTTATAGTCTCAATAAAAAAAAGAACCTAGATCCCAGCCACAGTCAGTTTCAAATGTTGAGAATGTACATGTGCTAAATTGAATTAAGGGAAAAACTGCAGTGACTATTAATGGCTTTGTCATATCTAATTTAAAGCTCAGAGATAACTTACTTATTAGGTTATTTCTGACCTCTGTGAAAACTGTTTCTTTGGAGGCATTCTAGAAAGAATATTCTGTTTATTTTTAATTAGGTTGCAAATTGAGAATCAGAAGGTCTAGTTTCTTGGTATTCCATAGAAACAACTATTTGGTAGCCTGGCCAGGGTGGCTCAGCGGTTGAGCATCGACCCATGAAGCAATAGGTCACTTGTTTGATTCCTGGTCAGGGCACATGCCTAGATTGTGGGCTCGATCCCTAGTAGGGGGTGGGCAGGAGGCAGCCAATCGATGTTTATCTCTCTCTCTATCTCTCTCTCTCTATATATATAGATATAGATATAGATATAGATATAGATATAGATATAGATATAGATATAGATATAGATAATCTCTATATATGATCAATAAAAACATTTTTAAACAGTTCTATAAAAACTGTAAGGCAATAACGTTGATTAAAAGTAATACTGATGACTAAGTTTATTCCTAGAGATTGGGAATTTGGTCGTATTTTGTTTCTATATTCTTATTTTTTTTAACCGGAAAGTAATTTTGATTTACAGTGAAGTTTGGAAACAACCACAGCCACTACTGATCTCTGAGAAAACAATTTGAAGTCGATTTTTATTTTAAGCAGAGCTTTGAAAACATTTTAAATTGTTTAAATGCAGCTATTAAAACAGAAACAGAGAACCTTGAAAAAATAGTTACTGTAAATAAGGTCTGATTCTTCCTGGACAGAATAATTCTTCACTAAATAAGTATTTGATTATAAAAGAATAAAGTATTATTTTAGTCTTTGTTTCCAGTATGGTTGCTAAACCATGGTAGTGGCCTTGCTTTGCAGGGGACAAAACTTTCTAACAAAGACCTTATAGTTTTGTCAACTATAAAATAAAGATGTTGGCTCTGGCCGGTTTGGTTCAGTGCATAGAGCGTCGGCCTGAGGAATGAAGGGTCAAGGGCATGTACTTCAGTTGCAGGCTTGATCCCCCAGCTCTGATCAGGGTACATGCAATGGAAAAATATCCTTGGGTGAGGATTAACAACAACAAAAACATGTTGAACTAAATTATTTCTAGGAGTTTTTTTCTAATCTTCAAACATGACAATTCTTTTACTCTTTTCTCATTCTAAATTGCTTCTTTACTGTGAATTCCTTCTGTATCAATATACTAAAAAAATTCTAAACTATCATGCAATTAATATGTTAATATACCATATAGAAGTTGTAACCTCCATATATTTGAAGTCAAGCAGTGAATTTGGATCTTGACCTTCAGGAACATAAAACAGCTGATGAAGATAGTAATATCTTTCTTATCTTCAGTGGGAAACAACTACCCAAAATGCCCTGGCTTTAGTAATTAACACTATAAAATGTTAAGGGCAGGAGGCACCTCCTTTTACCTAATATCTCGTAAGGTTAAATGTATACAGTTGAGAACTAAACATAGCTAATTAGTGTATCTTTCCAAAATTTTGTTCAATTGCACTCCAATCCTTTGGTGATGCAAAACTGTCACTTCAATGAATCTCTAAAATGATTCATCTCTTCAATATTTACAGAGTTTCCCCTGCAAGCAAGGCATTATGTTAGACACTCTGGAGTAAATAATAATAATTAACAAAATTCCTAGTGGGAGTATCAACCTACTTGCTAGGTGGGAAGCTGCGGATTCATGAATTGTTTAATGTAGCCAATTAGATCTTCAAATTGAGTTTTTTTAATACTTCAAATTGAGTTTTGAAAATACTTCACACGAAAAGTTTCTAATAATTCAGTTATCTACATTTACCTTATAGGGTATGTCAAAAGCTCAAAAATGCTTAAATTTTTTTGTTCAGAATTATTTTATTTGGAAATCAACTGAAATATAATAAAGAATTATAATCTATAAAAAAATCATAACTCTGGCCTGTGTGTGCAGTGGTTAGAGCACTGGCCAGCACACCAGGGTCCTGGTCAAGGGCACGTACCTGGGTTGCAGGTTCGATCCCTGCCCATGTCAGGCCTTGTGCAGGAAGCAACCAACCAATGTGACTCTCTCACATCAATGTTTCTTTCTCTCTCTTTCTCTCTTCCTCTCTCTCCCTCCCTCCCCTCTATTCTCTCTAAAAATCAATGGGAAAAATATCCTCAGGTGAGGATTAACAAAAAACAAAACTAACATCATGATATAATTTGGTTTAAAAAATTATTACTGGATATACCAAAATAAATGTATTTTCTATCCTTCCTATAAATAGCCAAGTTCTGGAAATCCCATATAGCATATATGGGCATCAACCGCATATATGCTGTTAAATAACACACCCATTCATATTTGCCCTCAGTTAAACTTTCTTAATGTAGATTCACTCTAATTTTTCAGGCTACAGTACTATAAAGATTGACATTAAAAAAAAAAAAAAAGACATTCCTACTGTTTTATAAAGCCATAAATTATCAGCTTGACAATGCAGAGCCTGGCAAAGGAAAACATGGGAATGGAGAAGAAATACTACTGAATCATAAAACAATTATAAGAAAAAGGCTTTGATTTCAAATTCGCAAATACATATGAAATTCTATTAAATCATACTAGTATGCTGCATTAACAGTAACTTACCTCAAGCTGATGCAGTAGAGCTTTTCCTTTTTTATTTATTTCTACCATCAATGTAAAAATAGCAACTTTAATATCTTGTTCCACTTGCTTTTGATTTTGATTTACTTCAATTATCCTGAAAATTAAATGAAGAGGGGAAATATAAGGCAGGAAAATTGTTTTACAATGTTTAAAATTGATTTTTTAAGGTCTAAATTAGACCAAAATGTTTTCAGCACTTAAAAAAGCTCAGCTATTTCTAGGATGCTTCAGTTTAAATTGACTTTCTTGAAAACAATACAGCAGAAATCCTATTCTTCTGAAAGACATAGTCATTTAATTCAACCTTAAAATCAAAATGCATAAAAAACATTTTAAGAAAATATGTTTTGGAAAGATTATGGTGACACCCAGGAAAATCAATACTCAGCCTAAAAAGATGATAAAGAAAACCATGAATCTAAAAGAGTTCTATTTTATTCACTGCAACTAAGAAGTAGGAAAGGGTAAATGTGTCACTTTTATTTAGTCATGTGAACTACTACAGTACCCATTATACCTGAATAGAATAAAAATGACAATAGTAGTTTGTTACTTTTAATAACACATTTGTCTTTAAATAAGCAGCCAAATAACTACTTTATGTTTAATCAACCACCAAATATGTTTTTTCCTTTGATTAGAAAAAATGGAAATGCTGTTTTCATAGAGATCAAGAACAGAAAGAAAATACATAGCATTACATCAGAATATCTTACAGAAGCAGAAAAGAATAATGGGGAACCCACTGAATATTATAAGAGAAATAAAAAGCTTCTTTTCTCCTGTTTCTCCCAGTTACCTTCCAAGACTAAAAAGGCAGAGATTTTGTTCTCTGTTGGAAAATCTTCAAGATAATTATTTAACATCAATATTGGCTAGAGGATCAAAAAAACTAATATAAATCCTCGTGATTGTAGGACAGGATAAAAAAGGGGCAACCAGTACCATGTTTGCACATGTGTGAAAATGAATGGTCAAGTAAGTCAGTCTAGTAAATTTAATCCTCCTATAATCAGGTAGGCAAATAAAGATATAAGCAATTAACACCTAATCCAAAGATTCTTTAATTTTTCCAATTCAAAAACCAAAATACTAAAAAAATAAAAGCCCACCAAATTTGGATAATTCACACTAATTTTAAGTCTAGAAATTTTCACACATACATGGTCAACTGATATTCTACAAAGGTGCCAAGGCAATTCAGTAGCAACAGAAGAGTTTTGTCAACAAATGGGAGTTGGAGCAAATGGACATCCATATGTCAATTTAAAAAAAAAAGGAAATACTCTATATATTGTGAAAGAATAAGAAAAAAGTCAAAATGGTGAACTTCACCAAGGGTGGATCTTTCACATAAAATTAGTTTTCTTACAAATTGCTACCATTTGCTACTAGATTGTAGAAATGACTATCATTATCTCTCCTTAGCCTATCTAATAAAGAGGGAATATGCTAATTGACTGCCCCGCCCTCAAAATAGCGCCCACAGCCAATGAGGGAATATGCTAATTGACTGCCCCGCCCTCAAAGATGGTGGCGCCCACAGCCAATAAGGAGAGAATATGCTAATTGACTGCCCCACCCTCAAAGATGGCGGCACCCACAGCCACAAGATGGCTGGCAGTTGTGGGTGATCAGGCCAGCAGGGGTGGAGAGTTAGGGGCGACCAGGCCAGCAGGGGAGGGCAGTTGGGGGTGACGGGGCTGGCAGGGGAGCAGTTAGGTATTGATCAGGCTAGCAGGGGAGTGGTTCAGGGGTGATCAGGCTGGTAGGCAGAAGCAGTAAGGGGCAATCAGGCAGGCAGGCAGGTGAGTGGTTGGGAGCCAGCAGTCCTGGATTTTGAGAAGGATGTCCGACTGCCCGTTTACTTATGGGATCGGGCCTAAATGGGCAGTCGGACATCCCCCAAGGGGTCTCAGATTGGAGAGGGTGCAGGCTGGGCTGAGGGACACCCCTACCCCCCAGTACACAAATTTTGTGCACCGGGCCTCTAGTTCTATAAATATTAACTACAAGTTTTCAATTACTCAGTTACAAAATATTTTTAACCCACCAATTCACCAATTATTCTACTTGGAAAAGTACAGTATTGTGATTAAAATATGGTAAGGGAAATCGTTTTTGGTTAACTACAGTTATGTGAAAGAGAAAGGTAAAATGAAATGAGAGCTGATCAGAATAATAAAAACTGACACACTAAAACTGTTACTACCACAATATATAATGACTAGCTATACTACTAATAATGGGACACCAAAAAAAGTTAACTTATATAGAAGAATTTTTTTTTTAAATCAAGGAATTCCTTGAAAAAAATTCCCAAATGCCCAACCCTGGTCATGTTCCAAAATTATAAGAATAACAGTTTATGATTGCTCTTATGGAAGATGAACCACAAAAGCCTTACAAAATTTTCTGAGAACAGCACTCAAATCCCCTGTAAGGCTTCTCTTATCCAGCTCTTTCTAATAAGCATTTCTTGATCTGTTTAGGCAGACACGTTAAAAGAAAGGGGATACGGAATTTCATAGGGTTGTAAAGGTTGCAAAATGTCAGTGTGTGCCCCAAATGGGATTAAAAAAAAGGGGGAGCAAGACAAACTCCCTCTTCCCCACAGAGGCCAGTGGTTTCCTCCACCAATCACTGAATTGTGAGACAGGAGCCTTGGACAAATGGAAGACAAAAACATAATAGATAATATGTAGAAACTGTGTAATATTGTACCTGACAAGGAATAAAAGGTGTGTGAAACAGTGTAACAATCCCTGTCTCCTGGTCCAAATGTCTCCAATTCATTGCAGTTAAGATAACAGCCCAGAGGGGTTATCACAAAGTTTAGCAATTCTTAAAATAGCATTTATGTATATAATCAAGTGTTAAAATATTTTACACTAGCAAAAACAGTTGATTTTATCTTTAAAATCCTGGTATTTCTTTAAAATTAAAAAACACTGATAATGATGAATTATCGATAACTTAAGTGAGCTGCTATAAATGCAGTGTGTCATCAAAATACTTTTAAATTTCATGGCTGAAAAGATGCTTTCAAACCCAAACTGTCCAGAAATCCAAAATTTTGTAGAAGTCTTATTAACTCTGTTATTCGAGTCATCTGGCAGCTTACTTAGATCTATTTCACCATGAGTTAAATAAAATGTTCTAAAAGTGAGTATACTTAACACATTATATAAAGATGATTTATTATAATACCATAAATGAAAATTTACCTGTTCTGGATCTGATTTCCTGTGAATTTGATGTACTTTGTTTTTTCCATCAATTTGGTGATTAGTGTATCTATAATCACTTTCTGATTCTGAAAAGCTTCTTCTATAAATTGATATCTGAAGAAATAAATAAACAATTCAATTATCACATGAATTAATCTGTGTAAAATGAGGAAAAGCCCCAAAGCAAAGAAATAATAGAAAACTATTTAAGATAATAAGAGTATAAAGAATATAAACAATCAGTTAAAATACAAAATATAGGTGACCCCCAAAAAATGTATACACACACTTTGAATAATTACAAAGGCAGTATTAATTAAAATATATTTCATTGTCAAAATTGAGCTATCAGCTATTAAAGTGTGTATACATTTGTGGGGGAGGGGGCACACTCTATATATCCCTATAAGGCAAATTTTCCCTCTTGTGGAAATTATCCCTTAAGAAAGAGGGAGTCTAGCCCTGGCTGGTTTTGCTCAGTGGATAGAGCATTGGCCTGTGGACGGAAGAGTCCCAGGTTTGATTCAGGTCAGGGTACGTACCTAGGTTGCAGGCTCCTCCCTGGCCTGGGCCATGGTCAGGGCACATGCAGGAGGCAACCAATCAATGTGTTTCTCGCACATTGATATTTCTCCCTGTATTTCCCTCTCTCTCTTCCACACTCTCTAAAAATCAATGGAAAATATCCTTGAGTGAGGATTTTAAAAAAAAAGAAAAAGAAAAGGAAAGGGGAGTCTTTACAGATATTATTCAAGGACACTCTTTAAATTATTTTGAAAATTTGGGAGACACACATGCATTATCACGGTTTTAGAGGATTACAGAGCTCACTTGGCCAAAAAGTAATAACAAATATTTAGGCAGATTTAACTATTTTACAATTTCATAATTATGAAAGTTTGATGCTTATAAACATTTTGAAGATCATTTTTAAATAATAAGCCCTTTTAAAATATTTAACTTAGAAATGAAGATGATAGCCTCTGACAAATAAGATGACTCAAGAGTATCTTGAAAGACAATGATGTAAATGATACATATGAAGATTTTCATTGGAAGTTTTTCATAAAATGTATAAATACAGTACTTTACGTAATGTAATTTGAAAGTATAATTAAATTAAATATAAAGAGGGTGGTCAAAGTTAGAAAAAAAGAAAACAGATAATTTCATTCCATTTCCTTTGTACATAATCATATTTGTAAACAATGACTGTTTAAATTCCTTCTTAGGTAACAAGATTTTTATTTTAAACTTTTTTTCATTACTACGCTGTTTGGGATCCTAATACAGTGTAATGCTGAATGAAATGGTCAAAATGGTCATCTTTATCTTCTTCCTAAACTCAAAGTAAAAACTTTGAATATTCTATTTATGATATTTACTAATTCTTTTCATAATCTTTAGCAGGTTTGAGAAATTTCCTTTTATTCCTAGTTTGCTAAGATACACACACACACATATACATATATATGTTTAAATGTTTTCATATTGATTTTAGAGAAAGAGGAAGTTAGAGGGAGAAACATCTATCGATTGCCTCTGTATGCACCCTGATGGGACAGAACCTGCAACCTGAGCATGTGCCATGACTGGGTATTGAACCGGTGACCTTTTGGTGCATAGGACGATGCTCTACCTAGCCACACCAGCCAGGGCAATCATGGGTTATATTTTTAATTTAATGTTTCTTCTGCCTCTACTGAGATGGTTATATAATTTTTCCTTATTCTTTAAACATATGAATTACATGATGATTTTCAGATGTTAAATAAACTTTGTACTATTAATAAGGCCAACTTGGTTGTGATTACATTATCCAAAAATCATACTACTACTGAATTTGGTTTCCCAATTTATCTCTTAGAATTTTGTTATTCAACTAGAGGCCCAGTGCACGAAATTCGTGCATGGGGGGTGTCCCTCAGCCCGGCCTGCACCCTTTCCAATCCGGGACCCCTAGGGGGATGTCTGACTGCCGGTTTAGGACTGATTCCCTGGGATCGGACCTAAACCGGCAGTCAGACATCCCTCTCACAATCCAGAACCACTGGCTCCTAATCACTCACCTGCCTGCCTAATGCCCCCAATGGCCCTGCCCTGCCAGCCTTATCTTGCCCCTAACTGCTCTCCCCTGCTGGCCTGATCGCCCCTAGCTGCCTCTGCCTGGGAACCCATGACATGGCTTTGTCCAGAAGATGGCGCGTCGGCATGGTCTAATTAGCATATTACCCTTTTATTAGTATAGATTACAGTTTACATTCAATATTATTTTGTATTAGTTTCAGGTGTACAGCGTAGTGGGTAGACAATAATATACTTTACAACTGCTTAGAATTTTTAGGTTCATCTCATGGGTGAGACCGCTCTATAATTTTCTATTTTTACTCCTCATAATCAGTGAAGTTTACCTGGATTTGTATTTTACTTTATGGGAAAATTACAAATCATGGATTTACATGAAATTGAAGGACTAATCTAATTTTCTTTGTTTTTTTGTACTAGTTTTGGTAAGCTGTACTTTCTAAGAATTATCCCATTTCATGTAAAAATTTTCTATTGACAGATATCCTTTTTAATTTTTTAAATATATTTTTTACTATTGATAGTATTACAGATATCTCCCATTTTTACAGATATCCTTTTATATTTTTTAATTCCTTTACAAAATACCTCCTTATTCCTATTATTTGGGCCTGCTCCCTTCTTAATCACTCATAAAAAGATTTGGTAATTTTACTAGTCTTTCTGAAAGATCCAATTTTTGGCTTTAACTATTTCATTAATTTCTGCACTTGTCTTTATTATATCCCTTTCCCCACTTACTTAAGGTTTAATTTACTCATTCTAACTTGAGATAAATGTTTAACACATTCACTTTTTAATCCTATTTAATATATGCAATTGTATATTTCTTTCTAATCATGGTTTTAGCAGTATATTTCAGAAATATTTTCATTATCATTCAGATAAAAATATTTTCTAGTATACTATATCAGGATTTCTTTTTTTACACTTTATTAACTCATTTTGAAATAATTTTAAAGATAAATTTGCAATAGTACAGAGTTCTCACATATACCTTTAACACTGCTTAGTGTTTCAAATATTGCCTCCTCAACAGCCCTTTAATTCCTTAATAATTAGTATGCCATTTTCTCAAAAGGATCTTCTATTGTTTACCCATAATTATAGGAAAATTGACATTGAGATAATACTTCCATCTAATCTACAGACCATATACCAATTATGTCATTTGTCTCACTAATGTCCTCTATAATTTCTTCTCCCTCTAATCCAGGATACCATCCAGGATAATACATCATTACATTTTGTTTTCATGTGAACTGTATTCCTTCATTTTCAAATATTTGGAGATTTTTCTCATCTATTATTATTTTCCAGATTAACTGCAGAGTTTACACAAGACTTTATATGATTTTAATTCTTTGAAATTTAAGACTGCTCTGGAATGATTAAATTCTTCCTATTTATGTTTGAAAAGAATGTGTATTGGGTACAGTATTTCTTAATGTCCATGAGGTTATTTATTAATTGTTATTTTGAATTTTATGGGAAAATCCTTATTTTTAGTGTGCTTGTTTTGTCAATTATTGAGATGTTAAATTTCCCACTCTAACTGTAGATTTGTTTACTTGTTCTAAGTTGTTATTTTTCTTTACATATTTTTATTTTTATTTTCTTTTTCTCTCTCTATTTTAAAGGGCATAAATTTAGAACTGTTCTATCTTTTAGATTAAGAAAACCATTTTTCATTATAAAGTTTCCCCCTTTATCTCAATGCATTTTGCTATGCCAACTTGCCTTTGGTTGGTGTTTGTATGGCACATCTTTACCTGTCCTTTTTATATACTCAGGTTTTAGATGTTTCTCTTATAAAAAGCAACAGACTTTCTATTTTCTTCTTATCCAGCCTGAAATATTTTGAACATTTTATCTATTTACATTTATTATAATTACAATACATTTATAGATCTATCAAGTTCTTATTTAATCTGCTCTTTGTTGCTTTTTCTTTCTTTGACCTGTGTTTAGACTGATTAATTATTATTCTATTCTCCCCCCCAAAAATACTTTTACTATTCTTTCAGTGACTATTCCAGATATTACACAACACAGATCTTGACTTATCACCTAATATTGATTTTTATATTTTTACCCTCCATCCTAAATTATTCATAAGCCTTAGACCATGAACTCCACATCCTCCTAACACCGTGGTTGGCAAACTGCGGCTCGGGAGCCACATGTGGCTCTTTGGCCCCTTGAGTGTGGTTCTTCCTAAGCCTTAGGAGTACCCTAATTAAGTTAATAACAATGTACCTACCTATATAGTTTAAGTTTAAAAAATTTGGCTCTCAAAAGAAATTTCAATCGTTGCACTGTTGGTATTTGGCTCTGTTGACTAAAATGAGTTTGCCGACCACTGTCCTAACATGTCTGCTGTGTGATATACAACACACATAATGCAAACCAACTAGATATTTTTATTGCTTTCTAAGTCAATATTTATTCAGATTTACAAATGCTTATTTTAACTGTTTTTATTCTGCCACACATCATCTCCCATTTTTCTTCTGTCTAAAGTGTACTTTCGCCCAGCCAGCATGGCTCAGTGGTTGAGCATCAACCTATGAACCAGCAGGTCATGGTTTGATTCCCCGTCAAGGGCACATACCTGGGGTTTTGGGCTCAATCCCCAATAGGGGGCGTGCAGGAGGCAGCTGATCAATGATTTTCTCTCATTATTGATGTTTCTATCTCTCACTCCCTTTCCCTTCCTCTCTGAAATAAAAATATATAAAAATTTAAAAAATAAAATAAAACAATATGTGGGGGCTAGTGGTTCTTAGTTCAGGGTGATCTTGCTCCCAGGACCATGCATTTTCAGTTGTGACAACTGGGAGGATGCTACTGGAATCTAGTGAATAGAAGTCAGAGATGCAGCTAAATACCACATAAAGCATCGAACAGCCCCCAAAGAATTATCTCTGGCCCAAAATGTCAATAGTGCCAAAGTTGAAATATCCTATATGATAAAAGCCTAATATGCCAAGTGTCCGGTCGTCCGTTCAACCAATCAAAGCGTAATATGCTAATGAATGCTAAGGTTGCTCAACCACTCGCTATGACATGCACTGACCACCAGGGGGCAGACGATCAGACGGTCGACCAGTCACTATCATGTACACTGACCACCAGTGGGCAGATAATCAACCAGTCAATCAGTCACTATGATGTGCACTAACCACCAGGGGGTAGATGCTCAACGCAGGATCTGCCCCCTGGTGATCAGTGCACTCCCACAGAGGGAGCGCCACTCAGCCAGAAGCCAGGCTCACGGCTGGCGAATGCAGGAGACTCTCCCGCCTCTGCAGCAGTCAGACATCCCCCAAGGGCTCCCGGACTGCGAGAGGGTGCAGGCTGAGCTGAGGGACACCCCCGCGCCCCACATCCCAGTGCATGAATTTCATGCAACAGGCCTCTAGTTCCTGAGTAGGCCAAACAAAACATTATCTGCAGACTGCCATTTGGTTGGGTGCCAGCAGTCCTCTACTTTCATAAAGCTATATTACAAATCTATGTATATAATGAAAGATGTTGGTACCTATGCTCTTTATGTTCTAATAACTGGCAATCCCGACATGTCAGTTTGTCGCATGTTTCACAATAAAGCTTTAGCTGCTCCTTCTTATGAAAGGGACAAAATACTGGTCGCTGACTGGTCACACCAACTGCTTCTGGAGAAACAATGAGAGCCAAAAAAAGGAAAATTAACGTAATTGAATAGTAAATAATTAGATTCTACTGAGATATAAAAGAACTACAAACAATTTAATCAACAACATCACTACTTCTAGGTTTTACATCTGTTAAAATGTTAAGTATTCTTGGCATTTCAGAAGGAAAATATAAATGAGCTCTTCACTTTCCAATGTGTAAATTCCAATTATAATTCAGAAAAAAATGTGGTTAAAAATATGCTTTATAAAATTAAAAAGTCTTAATGGCCCAGATAAGTGAGTGTGAACCAATTTGATGTTTTTTATTCCATGTACAGGGGGACATTTTTAAAAATGCAATTCAGAAAATATAATAAAGATGTGGTTAAAAAAAAGAAATTTCACCACTTTTGCAAAAATACTAACAAATGATACCCATCAACACAAGTAATTATAAAGTTTTCACTATTATACAGTCATCCGTGTAACTTTACAATAGTTAACCAGAATAGGAATAAAATTGGGCAATACTTACTATAATGTTAAATGGAAAAAAACCAGAATACAAATAAATATGATTAATTAAACAGTTATCTAATAATTTAAAGTAAAATCCAAACATTTCAGAAATAATCTCACCTTCAGAGATAATCAATATTAATAACCTGGTATGTGTTCCTTTGGCTGTTTTTCTACATAACTATATATATTAGTGGGTATTTTGTTTTATAAAATTTAAAAAATAGCACTATACTTATTGTCTTGTAAACTGTTTTTTTTCCCCCCACTTACCTCTATGTTAGCTATCTTTCTATGTTAGTAAATACATCTATGTATATATTAACTATACTAGAGGCCCACTGCACAGATTTGTGCACACTGAAAGGAAATTAATTAGAAGTAGTGGCTGGCAGGGCAGGACTGGGCAAGATGGGCTGGACACGCCCTGGAGCCAACCTCCTGCTGTCCCTCCCCAGCCGGCTGCACCTGGGGCAGTGGCAGGGCTCCAAGGGCATCTGTGGAGTGAGCAGGGTCCCTCCGGCAGGCGGCGTCCTTCGGCCTGGCCTGAGGGGATTGGGCCAAAACCGGCAGTCTGAAATCCCTCGAGGGGATCTGGAGTGCAAGAGGGCACTCTGCAAAGTTGCTGTTGCTCGGCGTTGAGCGTCTGCCCCCTGGTAGTCAGAGCGCGTCATAGCTACCAGTTGGACAGTCGCTTAGGCTTTTGTGTATATAGACAGTATTCCATCAAAAGGATATACTACCTGGTAGTGGTCATTTAAATGTTTCTCATTTTTCAATATTGTGTGTTAGTGTTGAAACAAACAAATGAAATGTAAAAGTCATTGAATGTTTCTGTAAGACAAATTCCTAGTAATAGAATTGTTGGGCCAAAAGGTAATTTATATATACATAATTAAACAGTACTCCAAAAAACTGTACCAATTTGTACTCCTACTTGGGTAGACTATTAGCTTACTAATAAGATTTTCTCAGTATTTTTAATCTTCACCAATTTTATTTTAAAAAGAAAGAAATATTTCACAATCTTTAGGTGCATTTCTTTAATAACGGAGATGGAAACGACACATTCATCAACCATTTGCGTTTCTTTAAGAGTCTGTTTATAACCTCTTATTTTTCTGTCCAATTCTCTTCACAACTTGTAAACACACTTAATATTTTTTTCCAAGCACATGATATTGCTTATAAGTGTATCAAAACATGTCAGCGTAGAAAGGAAAAAAAAAATGGTGGGAGGAATAGAGAAAAAGAGATTAAAAGAACTAATTCATTACCTGGAGATACTTCCTCTTTCTGCCTCACAGTATGGTCTTTTGTGAACTTCACCCTTTGATGAGCTCTGATGCATGTCTTACAGAGCCATTCAACACACTCTACACAAAACCCATTAGCTTCTGCATTGTCCTCACAGCTTGTACACACCTAAAAGAAACATATCACATCAATTTTTGAGAAAAATGAAAAGGTGGTCACAATACTAGTCATATGTAAATGATACAACCATACTTGACTCTATCAGTTACCTTCTAAACAGGGTTTGTAAATTTAAACTGACATTATGCTTATTTTGTTTTGTTAATCCTTACTCGAGGATATTTTTTCCACTGAATTTTAGACAGAGTGGAAGGGAGGGGGTGAGACAGAGAGAGAGAAATATCAATTGGTTGCCTCCCACACATGCCATGACCTGAGGCCAGGATCGAGCCTGCAACCAAGGTATGTGCCCCTGATCAGAATCGAAACCAGGACCCTTCAGTCTGAGGGCCAACGCTCTAACCACTGATAAAACTGGCTAGGGTCTGATATTATGTTTTAAACTATAAACATATGAAATGGAAATACAAGGACACTGTCCTTAGTACCATACAGCAAATATTGCAGGCACTATGCTAAGTGTTGAGGTTACAACAATCAGGAAAAGCAAGCACAGTGCCTGCCCTTGTGATATCGAGTCTCACAGATGGAATATGGGTTCAAATCCCAGTTCCCCCACTTACCAGCTGAGTACTCTTGGGCAGGTTATTTAGAATGCTTATGCTTATTTATTTAAGATTTTTAAATTGATTTTGAGGGAAAGAGGAAGGGAAATGGGGAGAGAAGGAGAAACATTGATGTGAGAGGTAAACATCGATTGGCTGTCTCCTGCATGCCCCACACCAGGGATCAAGCCCGAAACCCAGGTATGTGCCCTGACTGAGAATCAAACCTGCAACTTTTTGGTGCACAGGACGCCGCCCAACCAAGCCACATAGGCTCGTTTAAAATGCTCATGTTTAAAATGATGGTAGTAATACAGAACTTACTGAGTAGTTGTGAAGATTATATATGAGACAAACATTACTGGAATAATCACACTAAGACATAATTACAAACTGAGAAGTGCTATAAAAGAAAAGGTATGAGACACTGTTAACAACGTACAGTTGGGGAAACTGATTTCACTTTAGTGGGGTTGCAGAGACGGGGAAAAGTGAGAGGTGAGATTACTCAGACAAGGCTTTCTCTAAGGAGATCATATTAGCACCAAAATATGAAAGTTGAGTCATCAATTACTGATGACAAGCCTTTTAGGCAGAGAGAACAGTATGTACAAAAGCCTCCAGCAAAAAGACCATAGCAGGTTCAAAGTGCTGACAGAAAAGTAGTATGGCTAAAGTGGAGAGATCAAGGGGAAGACTGGCAAGAGAAGCTGGGGACATAGCAGGCAACAGCCAGGTCAGAAAGGACCACAAGACAATTTGGTCTCTGACTAAAGAAGTCTCCTAAAAGCTTTTAAGCAGTAAGTGAAATGGCCAAATATGCATTTTTAAAATCACCACCACTGCAATTGTAGACATGAGATTAAAAAGGGGGCAAGTGTTCCAGCATAGAGACAAATAGGAGGCTTTTTCAGTGGTTTAGGTGAAAATGAGAGGAAGTGGAGATAAATAAGGAGACTTAGAAAGTAAAATAGCCTGGCTGGAGTGGTTCAGTGGTTGAGCGTCGACCTAGGAACCAGAAGGTCATGGTTTGATTCCTGATCGGGACATTTGCCTGGGGTGCGAGCTCGATCCCCGGTGTGGAGCATGACGGAGGCAGCTGATGAATGATTCTCTCTCACTGTTGATGTTTCTAGCTCTTTCCTCTCCCTTCCTCTTTAAATTATATGTGTGTGTGTGTGTGTGTGTGTGTGTGTGTGTGTATATATATATATATATATATAAAATATGTGTATATTATATATATATGGAAGTAAAACAGACTGGTTTGTAGAATGCCCAGCATGTGGGAGGTAAAGAAGATAGCTCCTATATTTCCAGCTTAGATTACACCATGTACATAGTTTTTCCAGTTACACAACCTATAAGTTGTTGTTATATCATTAGTGATTGAGGGATGGAAAAATTTCCTCCTCAGTCAGTGGTTTACATTAGCCGAATTCCAAGTTACCTGGACAGTATTTCTATTAACTAAAACCTCCCTTTTTTAGGTCTTATCATCTTCAACCTTTCTAACATCATTTGATGCCACTCACTCCGACTTCCTAGAAATCATTTGGATTCCTCGAAACCTCCGGATCCTCTTATCTGTCTGAATGCCCCTGAATCGTACCACCACTCTTTTTCCTTTGATTCTGTAGATTTTTGTTGGATGTGGAGATTGGTCTCATCCACTCTCTTAGCTTCAACTGTCACTTCAATAAGGATGCCCCCCCCTAAAACAGTCTCCACACAATGCTTCAAAAACGAATAAAGGATCTCTATGTATACGGCTAGGGAGGGATCGCTAGTACTATATAAAGTAAAATTTAAAAAGAAAAGTGAAAAAGCAAGCATGCCACTGCTTGTTTAAGAAAAGATGGGGTTTGGGTGGGGTGACTTATTTGCTTATATTGTTAAAACATAAAATTACTCAAAATTATATATAAATAATATTAAAAATAAAAGGATAAACCATTAAAGAAATTCTCTATAAGGCAGAGAATAAACAAGGTAGTCAGGTAGATGAGATGGGGATAGATGTCTGAGTTATCTGAATACACCCTGTGCTACAGATTTTACTTTAGAACTATATAAATGTTTTATATGTAGTTATACAAATTAAAAAATTTAAATCCTTAAACATCAAAAGCAAAAATGAAACAATTGAACCTGTCTTATCAAGTGGGTGGCTTAGCCATGTAGAGAATAATTATTTACTTCAAGTAACTTTAAAAGATGACAATTTGATTAAGAATCGCCAGTGCATACACATATTCTTACTGTCTTTCTTGCTTTCTGTTTTGACAGACACAACTCTATAATTTCTACTTTCAGCACCAATTCTATTCTTCAGTACTCTTACTCAGCAAGCCATATTTTTGTTTTATGAGCCGGTTTCACATTACATTCCAAGAATAGGTGGTACTGCAATGCCAGAGGAAGAAAGGACTTAATCTTCTTAGTGGGCTTCCTATTTGCTGGCAATTTCTGTGCACACCACACAAAGCAGCAGTTCCTTCCAAAGCAACAGTTAGCGCAAGCTTGTAGTTTTTCCAATACTTGTAAAACCAGCACTAGAAATATCAACATCACCAGCCTACTCTTGTTCCTCTGAGGTCTGAGATTCTAAGGCCAAAGGTTCAGAGACCATCACAAGACAAACAGCATCTCCTCTTCGGATGTTTTAAACTGACATTCCATAAGGCCCATACTCTAACTTATAATATTCCAAACTTTATCTTTGTTCTCAAAGCAATCTTGAAAAGGAACAAAGCTGAAAGTATCATACTATCTGATTTCAAACTATATTACAACAAGACTATTGCCGGGAGCCGGTCCATGCTTGCTGTTTCAAGGGACCTGGCATATATGGCATACTGTTCTTAATATGTTTGCTCACCTTCTTGGCACTATGTGTTTTAACCAAGGTCTCTGAGAAAGGTTGTTTCCCCAGGTAGGGATTTTCCCCTGAAGTTAGGGAGGGAATAAAACCTCTTAACTAAGTGCCAGGCGGGTAATTAATCACTTTAACTAGGAACAATCATGCTTAAGCTACATAATCTTTACTCCCTGGAATGGAGATAAGAAACGCCCTAACCTTTGAATAGAGATTGATAAGATTGAATCAACTGGTATAAATACAGATGTAAGAAGACAGCAAGACTCAGAACTCAGAAGACAGAACCTACAACACAGAACTTAGAAGACAGAACGAAGAAGACAGAACCTACAGACAGAAGAACTTCGCTGGAGAGAACATGGCAAAAGATCCTGGACTGAACCTGACTACAGAAATTGGCAAAAGAACCTGACTAGAACCTGGTGACTGAACCTGGCTGGAGAACCTGGCTGGAGAACCTAGCGAGGGAACATGGCTACAGAACCTGGCTAGAGAACCTGGAGAACCTAGCAAGAGAACATGGACACAGAACCTGGCTGGAGATCCTAAGCAGAACCTCTCTGGAGATCCAGACCAGAACTTGGCTGGAGATCCTGGCTGGAGATCCTGGCTAGGCTGCTGATCAACTGAACACTGTCTCTGTGTCCTTCCTTCTTCGCCGACTCCGTCTACGCCTTTGGGAACCCCTGGACCTGCTGGGGCAGGACCCCGGCAGGCTATAGTAATCAAACAGTAGGTACTGGAATAAAAAGACACACAGACCAATGGAACAGAATAGAGAACCCAAAAATAAACCCATATCTATATGGTAAATTAATATATGACAAAGGAGGCAAGAATGGGGTAAAGATAGTCTCTTCAATAAATGTTGGGTAAACTGGACTGATATCTGCAAAAGAATGAAACTACACCACTTTCTCACACCATATAAAAGAATAAACTCAAAATGGATTAAAGACTTAAAAATAACACTGAAACTATAAAACTCCTAGATGAAAACACAGGTAGTAAACTCTAACATTGCTCTTAGTAATATTATTTTGGGTAAGTCTTCTTGGGCAAGGGAAACAAAAGAAAAAAACAGCCCTAACTGGTTTGGCTCAGTTGACAGAGTGTCGGCCCACAGACTGAAGGGTTTCATTCAATTCCAGTGAATGGCATGTACCTTGGTTGTAGGCTCGATACCCAGTAGGGGGCATGTAGGAGGCAGCTGATCGATGTTTCTCTCTCAGCAATGTTTCTAACCCTCCACCCCTTTCTCTTTATTTTATTTATTTATTTATTTGTTTGTTTATTCATTTATAAGAATTTTTGTTATGGTGTAAAAAGAATAAAAAGCTAAGAAAGAAAACAGGCACACAAAATAAAAATGGCTACAAACAGGTACCTTTCAATAATAGCTTTAAACGTAAATGGACTAAATGCTCCAATCAAAAGACATCGAGTGGCTAAATGAATAAAAAAAACATGACTCATATATTTGCTGTCTACAAGAGACCCACCCCAGAATAAGGGACTGACACAGACTGAAAGTGAAGGGATGGAAAAATATCTTTCAGGCA